GTATCCACACACTTATCCAGACCTATTTCCAACGTAAAACAATGCGTGCGCGCTCAAAACCCGACTCTAGAGAAAAGCAACTACGCTGATGGTAGGCGCAAAGATCAAAGCGGAAAATTCGGGAAAATAGCCAATTAGACATTAAAATCGAGTGTCGTTCAGGTCGAGTCACGAGATGAAGCGTTCGCCGCCATGATTAGCGTCATTAAAGAGCTTGACAGAGAACGATGGCGAGGGGACCTAAGGGAAAGGGAGGGTGTAGATACTCGAAGAAAAGCAATATCGCGAAGAGTAGGCTCATAGAGACAAAGCAGAGGACGATACACACATACGCGCGCTTTGATGTAAAGCTAATGAATAGATGGGCTTTGATATCTTTGTTTTTTCTAAGTATGGAAGCATCGCGGTGCTTCAATATAAAACAGGAAGTTTTCTTTACAGTTTTTTTCTCTAAATAATTCAAAGGGTTTCAGAGGATTGGCAGCAGAATTATAATTATTGTCAAAAGAAAAAGGCTGTACTTAAACTGCCGTTAAACGGTAGCTTACTAAAATGCCGTTAATAGGTATGACGTCGTTGATGTGACGCACTTGACGGCTTTATGAAATATAGGAATTTTATAAGGACTAACCAACGCTATCCACCCCTCCAAATAACCAACTTAACCAACGCAACTAACCGCGACACTGATAAAAAATATAAAAAACAAACATAAATTAGTAAAAATCAACCCACCCCACCAAATAACCAACTAACCAATGAATTAACACCCTCCAAATAACCACGCTAACCAACCCACCAAATAACTAAACCAATCCAACCAAAAAGAGTGAAACCAATGCAATAAGATCACACTATAAGCAAAAAAAAATATAAAAAAGTTTTGGTCGGCGTGAGATTTGAACCACGGACCATTCGCTTACGTAGCGATAGCCTTAGCCACTGACCCACAGGTGCTCTTGCAAAATGCTTAAGGCTAGGCATTACTTTCCGCCGACATGAACGACGTCACAATATCTCTTAACGGCATTTTAGTAGGCTACCGTTTAACGGCTGTTTAAGTACATCGAAAGAAGAATATTATCACACTGTCTCATTTATGAGTTAGAAATTTTGTTTGTGGCTAACTTTACAAACTTTATTCGTTAAACCTACTCCTTGGGACTTTCAACGCCAATCAGCATTGATTTTTGCAGATTTGATTATAATTATATTTTTTACTTACTTTTTCTGGTACCTAGACCTAGCGAAAATCGCGATCTCAAAAGTAACGTAACGACTGTAAGCTGTCGTATGCATCAGTCATAGACAGTCATCTTCGCAGTCATTGGCTGTCACTTGGCAGTAAAATGATATTTTGGCAGTACATCCCGTATAACCACGCGATATAGTAAACTCAAGCCTATACATATATTACAGATTAGTTTCTTTGCTATAAAGATGTCTCGATAAAGACTTCATATATAAAGCATATTTAAAGAATACTCAAATATTTCCTTTACATACATGTTCTGTATTTAATCTTTATAGCATAGCAACCATAAAGCACTGCCTGTATATGTTCTCCTATAGAGAATAGATGATTGATATTTATAACGCACATAAATAATCCTATGTAGTATCGATAACGCATAAATACAGATTCTGTATAGTTTTTCGATGACAATATTAACTGTTGCGAAAACTTTACTTATTCTTTATTAACTCTATACAAATTTGCGTAGTTCTACTCAAGGGTTCTACATAGTAAATATACGCTTATCCTTTACAACTTCATGTATTTTATATATCTGTAATGATATTCCGCCTGTGCATTATTTCTGGGGTTATAATCATTTTAATATGCCAGATACAAATGTGCTTCTCCGTGTTTCATCAACATTCTACTACATAATGGAAGAAAAATCTAAAATTTGAAATCTGTGTTTTCCACAAATTGAGTTATTGAAGGGCAGGTCGTACCTTCTTCTTCTTAAAGTGCCTTCTCCATTCAGTGAAGATCGGCAACAACCATGGCAAATTCATCTCTATTTTTCGCTCTTCTCAGCAAAGTATGTGAGTCCAGGCCTGTCCAATCTCTGATGTTCTTCAGCCAGGAGCATTGCCGTCGTCCGGGTCCGCGCTTTCCCTCAATTTTACCCTCGATGATGAGCTGAAGGAATTCATACTTGCTATGTCTCATGATATGGCCCAAATAGGCTGCTTTCCTGTTTTTTATTATGTCGAGGAGTTCTCGGTCCTTGTTCATTTGGTTTAGAACTCGTTCATTCGAGACACGGTCAGTCCATGGTATTCTCAGCATTCTGCGATATACCCACATCTCAAATGCTTCCAACTTATTCATTGGGCTTACTTTGAGTGTCCACGACTCAACCCCGTAGAGAAGTGTGGAAAGTACGTAGCACTTGACAAAGTTGTCTTTTATATGGATGTTGAGACGTTTATCGCACAGTAGGTTCCGCAATTTTAGGAAGTTTGATCTAGCCATCTCAATTCGAGCTCTGATCTCAATGTCTGGGTTTAGGTCTTCACTAATCCAACTGCCCAAATATCTAAACTTTGAGACTCTTGCTATTGGTGTCCCACATACGACTACCTCCGTTGCCTGTCTTGCATCTCTATTTATCACCATGACTTTTGTTTCCACAGAGACCCCTTTGTTTGTATTTATCCTGAGACCCATTGAGTCGCCCACCGAGGACAGTCTATCAAGAAGTCTTTGCAGGCCCTCAGTGGTGTCTGCAATAACGACGGTATCATCAGCATATCTCATGTTGTTAATCAGCCTGCCATTCACTTTTATGCCGTCTTCTGATCCCTCAAGCGCATTTCGAAATATTAGTTCGGAGTACATATTGAAGAGCATAGGGCTCAATACGCATCCTTGCCTAACTCCACGCTTGATAGGTATTGCTGTTGTTTCAGTGTCCTGTAGTTTTACTGTCGCTACTTGTTGTTCGTATAGCTTTTGGATAATTTTCAGGTCTTGGGTATCCAGGCCTCTTCTTTCAAGGATGCTCAGCAATTCCCTGTGGTTGACGCATTCGAATGCTTTTTTTTTTTTAACAGGGCTTCTCTCGTCCCCAGTCCCTCGCGAAATCCGATTTGCTGTTCACTTACGTCTAGCTCACATTTTCTTCGGATTCGATTATGCAGAACCTTTAAAAACAGCTTTAGGACTAGGTCGTACCTAATATATCTAAACAATAGAAGAAACCGCGGGGTAATTATAATAACGGTACTGATGGTCACATGGTCACATTGGTAACAAGTAACAAGAAACAAGATGAAATTTTCCCATGAACACCCTTGATTGATGAAGTTACAAGACTTGATGAAAGTTTTGAAACTGATGAAAACAGTAGTGTACCCGAATTTGTAAGTAAAAATATAATAAAAGAGTAATCAAATTTTCAGTAATTTTACTTAAATCGCCCCAATATAAATCTTATCTAACCTATAGGTTTGATAGGCGTCCTTTACAAAATATGTATTAAAATATATCTATTAGAAATTTTTTCTTCTTAGTGTTACCTCAATTAGAAAAGTTATATACTTAAACATAACTTTTCTAATTCAGGTAACAATAAGAAAAACTTTCTATAGGATATAGATTTTAATACATATTTAATATTTATATAATATTTAATACAGTACATTCTAGACTGTATTCAAACACGAATCGTCGCTGTACCAAAAGGGTAAAGACTGTCTTTATCAAATAAAGATTTTATTATAGACTCGATAAAGTTTCTATACTGTTTGGTTATGCGGGATGTACCTCGCTATAGATTATACATAATTACTATACAATACAGACAGATAGACGGAAAGACGGACAGAAAGACAGACGGACCGAGGGTCATTTTAAAACAAATTTTGTGAAAATGAATCAAATTATTTATTATTTTTTAATTTATTACTTTTTCAACTACACTTTTTCAAACATATCCTTCAAATCGTTCAATTTAACAGCTGTCAGTAAGAAGTTTCACTTCAGATATGCGCACATAGTGCACACACAATTTTTTTTTCATTCAAGCCTTCTACTTTATGATATTTTTGTCTCTCTTTGTTTCTAGCTACATAGCAAAGTTTACAGATTGCCTATAGGGACTCTATAGGCCGCTACTAAAAGTAATATGGCGGTCGATTTTACTCCGGAAAACGACTGCATTAGCTTTATTCGTTGGCGCTTTCCTTTGTGGAAAGCCGCCACGGGGAAACTCATGCAGTTGGGAAAATTGCTAATTAAGGCGGAGCGGCAAAGTTCCGCTCTCACTGGATTGAAGTTTTGTGTTATGAGCTTTCTATTTTTGTTCTTTTCCATATTTTTCGAAAGTATAAAATTTTTGCGGAAGATTCTAATGCAGCATGAAAGAAGGAGACGTCAAATCGATCTTATTTATTATACATATACAGGGTGAGTCTTAAATAAGTGCAAATATTTTCAGGGGTGGTATATTTCGACCCCAGGAAGACGTCTATGTTTTTTTTTCGCTAAATAAAGATGTTGAAAACCGTGCATTTTCTTTTAAATTTCCCTGTATATTTTTCGAAAACTTTTTAGAACTGCCTGTTTACCGCAAATTTTTCCCACGGTATGGTTTTACCATAGTTCCGGCTTTACTCTATGGTTACGGCAATAAAAGGGATGCAAATACAGAAAAAATGCGGTGGCTCTCAAAATTTTTTCAAAAAAAAATCATTTTTTTTTTAAATTTTCATTTAAATAACTAGGTTATTTTGGACTTATCTGGAAAATGATTAAGAGAAAATATGTTTCTTTTATCGACATCTACCAGCCCTGAAAATATTTGCACTTATGTAAGACTCACCCTGTATATGAACGTTTTATTTTTACTAGGATTCAAGTATGTATAGTAGGAAAGAAGCATATCATTAAAAAAAACGTTCTATTGAATTAGGTAGATGGAGTTAAAATTATAAATTATAAAAGGTGGGTAAAAAGTAAAAAGTGTTGATATTCTTGGTTATAGATGCAAAAGCTTCCAAATGGCCAAAAGAGGCGAGGTGTGCCGAATTCCTGGTTGTACCGTATCACCGGCAGCTCCTGGTACTCCAGCCTCAATAAGACTACCACAAGCACCTCCAGAAACCTTCAAACAATTTTTACTCTACGTATACACAGGCAAAGTAGGAATATTTCGACATTTAAATCTGTAATACAGGTTAACCCAGTATTCTGAAAAAGCAGGAATGATCAGGCCCTGGAATGATGTTGTTGCTAGGGCGAGCCGTTTTTGGAAGGTCCATAAAATTATGATTTTGGTTCAAAAAATACTCTTTTATACCCTCCAAAAAAAGTCTAGATCACTCCACTGGTGTTCCGTTAAAGTAAACAATACATGCAGTAGACTTTTAAAAGAATTATTTTTTTATTAACATTATTTCTTCACTCGACGCGTCGCCACTGTGTCTGTGTAAAATAGAAAATATATTATAAATTATAAAGCTAATTCGGAACACTGGATCGCCCTGTATTTCTTATATCTATTAAATTTTTAATTTACTTTACACAGTTTATTTAAAAAAAATTATACAGATCTTGCTTCAAGACAGCAGCGTGTTTGAAATGATGGCGTTAGCTCAAGAATTAGGCGTTGATGAGCTAAGAAATGCCTGCGAGGACCATGTTACCTCGACTCTTTCGGTACCATCAGCTTGTACTTTTCTAGCTACAGCAATGGATATTCAAGACCGCTCTGCAGGTACTTTTTTCAAAAGTTAGAAAACTCCTACGGTAAATATACGACATAATAACAAATCTCACAAGCTGCGATGGTGGTGTAATGGTGAGCATAGTTGCCTTCCAAGCAGTTGATCCGGGTTCGATTCCCGGCCATCGCAGAACTTTTTTATATTTTGGAAAGCAAATTTTACTTATTTTTTTATTTGTAATTATTATATTTTAAATTAATACTTATTTCAGATTATTTTTTTAATAAAAAACTACATATTTTTACTACTTTGCAGGAAAAGCTTGTATAAAATACTTGAGAAGCGCGTTTATTAAGTTGAAACAATCAAAGAATTCAGTAAGAAAATAAACGACTAAATAAAACTACTATTTAGGAAAGAAAATGACTAAATAAGTGGAATTTCATCTCATATTTAGTCGTTTTTACGATTTTTTTACATTTTTAACAATCCGTTTCGAAACCCAACTCTGCGAGAAAACACTAAATATTAGTAATTTTCATTTTATACTATTGGCGACATTGTGACGCGTTTAAAAATGTCATTTCTCGAACGCTTCTTTGGCCGCCGCTAACCTAAAAAATCACAAATTTGAAGCGTTGTTTGCTCTTTGTTTGATATTAAAAGAAAAAGCAAAAATATAATACACAATGGCTTATAAACCACAAAAAGTGCAAAAGGTGATGGTGCAGCCCATCAATCTGATCTTCAGATACCTGCAGAACCGTTCCCGAGTCCAAGTTTGGTTGTACGAAAACATCAGGCTAAGGATAGAAGGGCATATCGTTGGTTTTGATGAATACATGAACTTGGTACTCGATGATGCCGAAGAGTACTACGTGAAGACCAAGAACAGAAGACAGTTGGGCAGAATAATGCTGAAAGGGGACAATATTACGTTAATTCAAATGGTGAAACCAGACAGCGGTGGCAATTGATAGATGTTACATACATAATTTCCATAATTAATATTTAAGATCTTAGATTTAAGGAGCTAAACTGATAAACAAGAAGTATGTTTCATATTTTATGTGAAAAATTCAATAAATTTGTTTCAGAAGAGTCTTTGTGGTTTGATTTCATTGATTCTCTAGAAAATAAGAATTTCAATTTATTTTACTAGATATAATAGGTATATTACATTTATTTACAATAATTAAATATAGGTGGAAAAGCAACTGCAGGTTTTATTGAGAGATGCATCACTTATATTGGAGAAAATGCCGCTGAGTGTGTGAAAACAAATTCATTCCTTTCATTACCGAAAGAAGCTGTTATCAAATTAATATCTTCTGACTATGTAAGTCTTCTAATATATACTACATAAGCATTTTCCCAAGTATACATGTTTGTAGCTTTGTCTTGTAGAAGAGGACGTATGGAGAGCCGTATTAAACTGGGCAAAATACCAAGCTGGCGTTACGCAACCTACTGCCCATTGGACTGAAGAAGAAAGAGCAAGAGTTTGCCAACATTTGTCATATGTTATAAACCATGTCCGGTTACTTTTAATAGGTCTTTAGTTTATTAATTAGTTATCGAGCTTGTTATAAAAGTAATTTATAGATTCACAAGTGTTTGCTGAAGAGGTGGAGCCCACTGGAGCTGTTCCCATGGAGCTCAGTCTAGAGAGATATAGACATGCAGCGTTGCCAAGCAAATACCCTGAAGCTTCAGAAGACCAGAGGCTTAGACCTAGAGTTTCACCCCATTTATTTCCAGGATCTCTTATATTAGGTTTGTACTTATATTATTATAGTGCAGTATACAGTCTGAAATATACATATACTATTTTAGGACAAGATAAAAGTCATTATCAGAGAATTTTGAACGCCTGGTATGGCAATGTTAAACAGACCTGGACCCTGATATACAGGGCTAGCAGTCACGGATATTCAGCGTCAGCTTTTCACAGGCGCTGCGATGGAATATCACCAACCTACGTTATTGTTTTGGTAAATTTTCAAACTAAGTATTAAATGGTATAAAACACTTAATATTTTAGGGTGCAAGAGGTGAAATATGTGGGGGATTCAGTGATGCAGCCTGGGGTAGACCGCCTGGAAAAAGCCGATTTGTCGCGGCCGACAGAGCTTTTCTTTTCACCCTGTATAACCACCAAGACTTGCCTCCAACCCAGTTTCAACTAGTTAAGAAGCCTTTTGCGATTTGTTATCATCCAGAGTAAGATAATTTAAGTACATAGTAATTAAATTTATCTAATTTATTTTATTTTTTTTTAAGTTCTGGTCCAATATTTGGAGGTGGAGCAGACCTTTTAATTTCAAACAACTGTAACAGCAACATGGACAGCTATTCTAATTTACCTCACACTTACGATGGTGAAGGTGCCTCACCTTCAGTGCTTATGGGAGATTATAATTTTGCTGTGGCAGATTATGAAGTTTTTGCCCCCATAAACTGTACAGGGAAATTTTCAAAAAGTGAGAGATACCAGTAAGAAATTAAACATAAATCATAGAGTTTTATTTCCTGTAATACAAAAAAAGTACTGATAGAAAGATAAATAAAATACAGTTTTATCTTAAAATTAATATGTTTACAACTCTTAAATATAGATAAATTAAAGCAATCAAAGTTTTACCTTCTGTATCTATATCTTTTAAAGTGAAACCATAACTGAAATATATTATTATGAAACTGACATCTAAAACCTCTTTTATATGAATATTCCCACTCCCTATTAACTATCTTAAATGCAATGTCCTCATAGGGCGGTCCGGCATGGAATTTCAAAATGGCAAATTCTTTATTATCTGGACAAGGAGTCAAAAAATATTCTGGAGTACAATTCTTATCAATCAAGTCTGGATAAAATATATTAAACTTGTAGCCTTGTACAATTTTTGGAGGTGGATTATCCATGTCATAATGAGTTTGATTGTACTTGTTCCATTCAAAACCTGTGTGTACTCTGTTGAAGTACCTGGGTTTACGCGGTCTGTACTTGTCTGACCAAAGATATACTTGATTATCTAAAGCTTGTTCCACACTAAACTGGGCCTCATCTTCTCCCATTCCTTTTCTTGCCTCTTTTTGTAGTAGAAGTTCTTCTTTCGTTATAACATTCTCAACTTTTTTGCCTTTGGCTGTTACCTGCATTCTTGCAAACTCCAGTCTGTTTGTGTCATCCTCTTCTGTCACTACTATAGTGCCTGTACAAGGAAAATGATTATGTTATTAAATTTATCAGAGATTCTAAAGTAAAAAATAAGTATTTACCTGGTTCAATCTCGTCAGGACTTAATAATTTAGGACTGTACCCTCCATTTTGATATAAAATAAAGCATTCATTCAAAATATCATTTGCAGCATTCTCATTAGCTTCTGTATCACTTTGGCTATCTTCTGTAGACTCTTGGGAGGTACTGGGTTTCTCATTATCGCTATGTTTAGTACTTTCAATATTCTGGTTGTTTTCAGGCAAAGCAACCGCCTGTTCGGCTTTTAAAACTTGTAGTTTCCTTTTCAAACTTTCCTGATGCCTGTCTCTAAGTCTTGCCCTGGCCATGTGAGCTTTAAGTTGGGACAATAAAGATTCCCAATAACCGATATCGATTCCATCTGCTTTACCAGAAATTTTACTTTCAATTTGTTTTTGAAGGGCTGCCAACTGAATGGCTGTTTTGCCTTTAAAAACTGATGTAACATCTTGAGCTACTGCTTGATTTATACCTTCTCTTCTACCAACCTGAAATAAAAAATACATTCCAGGAATATGTCTACTATATAAAAATTACTTTAACTTACCCCAGCATCAAAGTCCTGTTCCTTTTGAATCTTTCTCATTTTTTGTAACTCATCTTCAACAATAACTGTAATATCATTCCAATAATCTAAATTCTTTCCTCTTTCCAGTTCTTTATAGACTTTAATATCCTCAACAAGATCCTCCAAATCTTTTATATGAAGTCCATTAAGATATGTGTATGGTTCGTGCATTTCCACAGCATCTACTTCTTCCTCTGCACTGATATATTTTGCAAGAAGATCAATAGGCTTTGCTCTACCATCCTAAGTGAGAAAAAAAACAAGTGTATATCAAAAAATAAATAAAATTAAAAAAAAATTACCTGGATCCGAATATGACTTCTTAATCTGGCTTGTTCTAAATGAAATTGATCTTCTTGTCTTTCCCATTCTTCAAACTGGGCTGCCTCTTTGCTCCTTTGCAAGAGCTGGTTCTCTTCATCTCTTCTTTGTCTATCTAATTCACGCTCTTGCCTTCTTTTCTTCACCTTTTCCAGTTCTCTTTTGTTTTCCTCTTGTTTGAATCTATTTCTTGCCTCCAATTCTTCATGACTAGCATTTGTCAGGCCTTCTTTAGCTAACTTTTTTGTCCAAACAAAGCTTGATAATAAGTTACCATCACCGAAAGGATTGTCACTATTGGTATAATGTAAATATTCATTATCCCAGCCCATTCTTTCCTTTCTCTTGCGTTCTTTCTCTTCCTTCTTCTTTAATCTACGCAAACGTTTCTCCTCTGCTGTCTCAGTTGCTTTTAATAGTTCCTTTTGTCTCTTTTTCTCTTCAAGATTTCTTATTCTATCTTTCTCAAGCTTCTCTAATAGTTTTAATGAATTTTGTGAACTACTAGAACTGTCTGAAGAACTACTACTGTTTGAAGAATCACTGTCTGAATCATGTCGCTTACGATTCTTACTTACATATTTAAAATCTCGTCTTTTAGAACTTGTAGACGAACTCGAGCGTCTTTTGCTCTTAGATTTTTTCCTCTCGTAGCTTGGAGACCTAGATGCCTTTTTATGACTGTGTTTTGATCGTGAAGAACGTTCTTTACCATCTCTAGATCGTGATCTTGGCATATTTACCTTCAAGAACGATTAAAAGGATAAAACCTCTGATCAAAATTTTACGACAGTAAACAGTCTTTAAAAATTAGGTTATGTCATCTGTCATGTCTGTCATCCATAACAGCTGACAAATGACACATATCAGGTTAGTAAACAGAATGTAACAAATATCCCAAATACAAAAATAGACAAATATAACAATAAATAACAATATTGCAATATTTAAACTTAGATAGATAGGCCTTACGTTGTTTATTGCAGTAAAAAGTAATGTATTATTGCTGATTAAGAATATATAATTTACAAAAATTGTATAAAATCACAACTTTAACAGTATCAATGCTACCAACCCTAAAAACATGAATAGTTCAATAAGCACGTGGTTACCAAATCTGTCAAAATCAAAATCGTCAAGTTTTCGTTCATCACATTTTCACGAAAAACAAACATTAAAAATTTCAGCATTATTTAGCAGAATATGAGTAGATAAAGGATTATGAACCGACGTGCATCGCCTATAGATAACGAACAATGCCGTCAGTGCTCCAGTTTTTCAGATTATATAAAAGCAACAAAGAAAAAGAAAGATGAAAATAATAACGTTAAGGGTGCCGAACATACAGATGCAAAAGGCCCGGCTGGCCCGGTAAGTATCACTCTTGTGTTTTTATATATTTAGTTAAGTGTATCAAAAAGAAATGCTATATGAAAAATATTGTTTAATTTTCATATGTCAACAGTTTCACAATATTGCCTATAATGAAATCACAATTAAACAATTCTTAGGCGAAAGATATGGAACATGTAAAACCAAGAAGAACTGATTGTCCTTTGGATAAAGATGAGCTTGGAAACAAATCATGGGGCTTGCTGCATACCATGGCAGCTAAATATCCAATGAAGCCTACCAATAGCCAGCAGTGTGAGATGAAAACATTCTTTAATGTATTTTCAAAATTTTATCCTTGTCAGCATTGCGCAGAAGATTTGAGAGAAGAGTAATGCATTTATATAGAATTATTTTTTTTTGGGGTTTATTCTTGGTTTTAGGCCAGTAATTTAAAACATAATAATTAAAAGTTGTTTTTATTTCTTATGTACGTTTCGACCATTCTTAGGTCTTCTTCAGAAAATTATAATTATTATCAAATACATATACACATAACAATATAAAATCATTATAAAATTTAAGTAAGTATTACACATAACATATTAAAAAACAAACAACCACATTACTAGTACATGTCAGACTCTAAAATAAATATTATAATTGTCACGAATATATATAAAACCAAGAATAAACCCCAAATAAATATACAAAAGGTCAAAGAAAAAATTAGATTTATAAAATTATTTTTTTTTTAATGTAGTAAAATAACTTCCTATTTTTCAGACTCAAAATGGAACCACCCCGAGTAGAATCACAAGAAGCTCTTAGCCAATGGTTATGCCGTCTACATAACAAAGTTAATGTAAAGATCGGCAAAGATATATTCGATTGCTCTAAGGTTAATGAAAGATGGAGAGATGGTTGGCTAGATGGCTCTTGTGATTATTAGGAAAATTTAGACAGGTTAGCAAAATATTGAGTAGATTTATAAATGTTAAATGTAAAAATAAAACCTTTATTATATTCTAATATTGTTTTTTATTAAAAAAAAATCAACATTTTATATGTACATGCTTTAAAATCACTTTTTAATTCTTTTATTTTTATGTTGCGATGGCTGAGTCTGCTTAGGTCTCTTTTTTGGAGGAAATCGGGGTCCTCTGCTACCCTTAACAGCTTTATTAAAACCTTTTATCCACCTATTCCTGTTGTCTTCCCAGTCTAATTGTTTATGGCCTAATAAAAAATTACAATTGGGATTAATTCTTAAAAAATAATTAATTAAAAATTGAAGTGGAACATTTTTATGGACAGGGGTTTTCATTGATATTTAATGCCATACCTACAAGCTTTAAATATATTAGTTGTAATGTTTCACATGAACTGCCAAAAGTGAAATAAAATCAACAAGAGATGATCAGAAAGTTAAAAAAATTATAATTTTTTCATACAGCGCCGTGCGTCGGCCCTGTAGCTCCTAAAATAAAAACTTGGGAATTTTGTTTAAGTGCAATCCTAAATTATGTACTAGGATGTATTTCAGCAAAATATCTTAACTTATATAGGGTGGCTCAAAAAAGTGAGTGAATCGGGATGATTTTTTTTAAATGGAACACCCGGTATATTATTGCATTTTTGGTTTCCTTTCAAATCAATTTACATAATCCTAAGATATGAACAAATATATTTCGATAATTTCAAAGATATTAATAAATAAATAAAAAATATATTTTTTTCAACTTTCCTTAAAAAATTATAACAAATACAAGAACTGTCCTGAAATCAAAACTATATTAGGTATTTACTTTAGATTATTTTGCTAAAAATATTTTCTATCATATAGGGTGTTCAAAATTCTACGCCAAACTTTCTAAAATAAAAAATAATTTTATTTTTTTTAAGTGGTTTGTATTTAAACCATTTCAAAATTTTTAATGGTTTCACATGTACACGTAGTATTATTTCATATGGCTCTTTCAACGGTAAAATACGAGAGAAAAATCATTTGGTGGCTTTGATAAAAATTTACTGTGGAAAATGCCATATGAAATATAAAACCGCGAATATCTGCGAAACCGTTAAAATTTTTGAAATACTCAACTATAAAAAATGTTCATTTTTTAATTCTCCATCTACTGAAGAAATAATATACAGGGTCTTCCATTGAAAAAAAACAAGAAAAATTATTTTATATTTTAGAAAGTTTGGCGTAGAATTTTGAACATCCTGTATGATATACGATTACCATATTTATAGCAAAGTAAGTACAGACCATCTAAAGTAAATACCTAATATAGTTTTGATTTCAGGACAGGTTCTTGTATTTTAAATTAATTTTTTAAAAAAGGCTGAAAAAAATATATTTTTTATTTATTTAGAGATATTCAGAGATATTAGCTCTGAAACTATCGAAATATATTTACTCATATCTTAGGATTATGTAAAGTGATCTGAAAGGAAGCTAAAAATGCAATAATATACCGGGTGTTCCATTAAAAAAAATTATCCCGATCCACTCACACTTTTTTGAGCCACCCTATAGAAGTTGAAATATTTTCCTGAAATACATCCTAGTACATACTTTAGGTTTGTACTTAAACAAAATTCCCAAGTTTTTTATTCTAGGAGCTACAGATGCCCGACGCACTATTGCCGGACCCTGTATATTGACTTGGGAGATTCTGTAATTTAGATTAAAAATGACAAAAGAAAATTTACCCTGTTGCCCTCAGGTATCTGTCAAATTTGACATATAAAGTAGTAATAAACTCTCATTTTTACCCCATAGCAACCGATTTTCGTGATAAAACCAAAAATAACTGATAGGGAGCTATTTGTCGTTCAAATATTTATCTTGTACTCTTATATTTAGTTCAATTTTTTTAATAAATTAATATTTTTTTATGAAAAGTTAAATATTGTTGTAAAAATATTGGCTTGAGTGATGCAAACTATACATAATTCTTCCATATATCAAGGTGACATCATTTCGGGTCAACTTTCGTTTAGCTTAAATCAGTTATTAGAAAAAAAAATTTTGTCTTTAAAAAGCTACTGTGAGCCACGGAAAACACAAATTTTCCTGCGGAAATGGGTAATTTCCAAATTTCGCACTTTAGAATAACTGAAATCTGCTATAAAAAAAATACATTTTGCGTTTTATTTTTAATATTTTTCTGAACATATAAACACAAAAATTTTCCTGCGGAAAATAAGCTGTTTTCATTTTATAAGAAAATTTATTAGACTTTAGAATAGCTGAAATCAGTTATATAAAAAATAAATATATTTTTGCCTTTTAGAAGCATTCACGAATTGAGGAAAATGAAAATTTCCCTGCGGAAATAAACTGTATCCATTTTCTGAGAAAATTTAATAGACTTTAGAATATCTGAAATCAGTTATATAAAAAATAAAGATATTTTTGCTTTTTAGAAGCGTTTACAAACTCAGAAAAATAAAAAATTTCCTGCGGAAATGCTTGATTTTCATTTTCCATTTTTGTAAGCTTAAATACATAAAAAATTATCTTTTTATCACTTTTGAACCAAAAAAAAATCATTTAAAAGTGTCTAAAATGCTAACCAATCTAATATTTTTACAAAATTACAGTTAGTGAGCAACATACGACATCAATCAGATCAAATGTTACAGGAATACGACGAAAAAGCTAAAAAAGTACTAGTGTAATAATAGACTACAATTACATAAACAAGAGACGCATTATCCCAAAATTTTCAGATAAGTCTACAGGTGAATTCTCAGTATACGGCGCAGAAAGATTTCAAGAGACACGTTAAAAGTTGCGTTGGATAAGCTGATTATGGATTTAAATAAAAGGAGACAAGTCTATGAGACATATAGCAAAAAATTCAAATTTTTAATGGATTTGCAAGACAAAAATATCGAAAACATAGATATGGAAATTGCACTTCATATTATTGATTACTATCCCGATGACGTAGACGAGCATTTAGTGAATGAGAGCATTCAATTAAAATCGTACTTACTCCAATCTATGTCTGAGTCTTACACCTCTTGCAGTGACATTTTTATGCTCATGTATGAAAATAAACTTATTAACGTGTTCCCTAACTGCTATACGATTTTAAAGATTTTTTTAACATTGCCAATCACTAGCTGTGAAGCAGAACGCTCCTTCTCCAAGATGAGGACAACAATGTCGAACCATCGACTAAATAATTTATCACTTCTTTCCATAAATTGTGATCTAACAAAAGACTTGGAATGTGATGACCAAATAACTGTCAATTTCTGTGACTACAACCTATCAATTTATTTTACTAATTCATAATAAGTAAATAAATAAAATTGTTTTATTGTTTTTTTTATATTCTTATAAAATATCACTATTTCGGTTTCTCTCTCACCCAAAGTTTGCCTGGAAGAGATTGCTACCACAGCAATAAGGTCGCCTTTTGTACAACTAATACTTGCGTAGATTTAAGTAACATTTATGTTACTTAAATCCACATATCACAAATACCGAAGTCTACAGCAGAATAGGCAGAAAAAGAGAATTGCTCAATATAATAAAAATAAGAAAAACATCATACTTAGGGCATATATTGAGAAATGAAAAATACCACGTCTTACAATTGATAGTTAAGGGTAAGATTGAAGGAAAGAGAGGTCTCGGCAGGAAGAAACTATCTTGGTTGAGAAACATCAGAAACTGGACTCACCTAATTTTGAAGAACTTATAAAGAAAGCCGAGAATCGTGAAGATTTTGCCAATGTGATCGCCAACCTCCACGAAAGAGACGGCACGTAAAGAAGAAGAATAATAATATATCATTATAGAAACAGTTTTTTGATATGGCTATTAGTTGAGTACTTATGTAGGCCCCTAAGTAGTTTCAGCCCAGGGCCCCACAAATTCACGATCCGCCCCTGATAAGATCCACAGCTTATCACCCTCCACAAAGAAAAGCTAACCAAAGCAACCCAAATGCTAACCAATCTAATATTTTTGCAAAATCACAGTTGATTATTAAAATATAAAAGAAAACTGCATGATCCAATGATTTTTTGTTTTGAATAAGCCCTATATACGTAAAGCTTTAATGATAACAAGAATAAGTGCAACATTCCGAGATATTTATAGTTTACAAGAACCTATATTATCTATTCTACAAGAATTGTTATTCCTCCGAAAGATGTTTTACCCCACCCAGCACCCCTATTCGCTCCCGGGTCCCGTAAGCTTCTAAACTGAAAAATGTATGAAAAACAAAGTGCACAAAATGACATTGACACATTTCCGCAGGAATTTTTTTGTATTTCTTTGCTCGTAAATGCCCGTATAAAATAAATATAAGTATCTTTTGCATGTAACTGATTTTGGCTATTCTAAAGTCAAAGCATTTTTTATGTAAAATAAAAATAAAAAATTTCCGCAGACATTTTTTTGTGTTTTTATGTTTAGAAAAATGTCTAAAACACACCCCGAAGACTAGTTTTGATGTAACAGATTTCGGCTATACTAAAGTCCGAAAAATGAAAATGACGCATTTCCGCAGGAAAATTTTTGTATATTTGTACTCCTAATGCCTTCTAGAATGCATATACAGGGTGTCTCAGATTTTAATCGGGAAAATTTAATAGACGATAGAACTTGCAAAAATAAAACAAAAAGTTCATATCAACTTGTAAGATTTAAAGCTTCCTTTTCAAGATACAGGATACCATTAGAATACCAATTATAATATTAATTACCAATTACAATTTAATTTTGTTCGCAAGAAGTAAGTAAGATAGACAAAAAAGTCAAGAGACAAAAAAATAATTTTTTCTAATTACTAAATCCAAAAATAATATTAAACTTCTAAAAAAGCAGTGGCGTGCCTATTTTTTCCTTCAAAATAATTTAACAGTGATGCTCCACCGCCGCTCCTGGCAATTAAACTTAAATCTAATTACATCAAATTAAGTCCCATAGTAAGTATTATAAACGGGTCAAGTTATATCAAAATCGATTAAATAGTTTTTCAAATATCTTTAATTGTTTTTCTTTTTTAAGTAACTTTAACACCCTGTATCTCGAAAAGGAAGCTTTAAATCTTACAAGTTGATATGAACTTTTTGTTTTATTTTTGCAAGTTCTATAGTCTATTAAATTTTTCCGATTAAAATCTGAGACACCCTGTATAAAGTCATTTTTTATATAACAGATTTCAGCTAAACGAAAGTTGAGCCATCATTTCTATTTTATTTCTAAGTTTAAATTTTCTTTAAAAATCAGATCCGCTTTATAGTAAGTTAATTAAACAAATTTTAATAATACTTTCATTGTAATTTGATCATAGACCATATAGGGACAATATATAACCAAACGATTCTACAAGTAAACTATAAAAAATACATTTTCACAGTTAGTATTGTGCAAATAAGTTCCTAGCATGTACAAATATGAATTTTATGATGCAATCTCCATAAATGCGGAAGTTATTCATACTTTTTATCACTTTTTGTCTAATTTTTACAACTAAATTTATTTTCCTTTAAAAACTATTAACAGATTCAGAAATTTAGTTGAACTAGTTTGTTACTTTAAATCAGGGTTGGAAAAAATCATGATTTTTTTAAAAAAAATCAAAAAAATCAGATTTAAATCAGATTTTTTTGATTTTAATTCAAAACAGTATTTAAGTTGGATTTCCAAATGACTAGGACTTATTTCCAATTAAAGTCCTATTCTAAATGGCTAAATATTTATTATTATTTATTTTTTTTTATTTGGGTTCTTTCTTGTTAGGTCTGATGATGCTCGTATGAGCGAAACATGTGTCACTGATTAATTTAATATATAGGTTGAGACCGAGACTTTGAGTCTTTTTATACTAATTTTTAATAAATCCCTGCGTTTAGCGATATAATGGATTCACACGAAATTACTTCAAAAATCGGTCCAATATTTAAATTGATGAATAGATATATTTATATAGTTTTATAACATTTATCCTTATTTTTCGATTTATTATTATCTTATATATCTGTTATAGAAATATTTTTTATAGTTTTCTAGGACACATTTTTATAACTTTTACAGTTATTTTTTGATTTAATAGTATAAAGTTTCAATATTTTTTTTTTATTTAGATCACATGATTAAAATTAAAAAATCACTTGATTTAAATCAGGGTTGGCATGATTTAAATCAAGTGATTTTTTTATTTTAATCATGTGATTTAAATCAAAAAATAAACTTTTTTAAAACTTTGTAATAAATCGAAAAATAACTGTAAAAGTTATAAAAATGTGTCCTAGAAAACTATAAAAATTCTTTCTATGACAGACAGGTATACACCATATCATCAAATAGAATGTTACACTTGCTATTGTAACGTTTAAGTATTTTTAATAAATCGAAAAATAATTGTAAATAATAATCTACATTAAACATTACAAATAATTTTTAATCAATTTGAAAACATGTTGAAAATAATATAAAAAGTAATACCCTTATACTTATTAGATTATACCCTTACCCTATAATCAAGGGTAATACCTTATAAGTAATTATATATCGAGCAACAATTTGTACACTCGTTCAATTTTACACTTAATATCAGTTTAATAACATACTTTTGTACTTTAGTGCTTGGGTATAAAAGCGTTTTACTTTTATGCCTAGGCGTTAAAATGACAGAAATGGATACTTTTGTGACGTTTGACAAAAAAGCCTTTCGATCTAAGCGAGCGACTTTTTTGCGGAATATATTGGTGACCGATGTGGAAATATGACTCGCCCCGTAGAATTGTTAATGTTATCGACAGAATTACTAAGATTCAGCCATTTCGGATAGTACTTTAATTGGAAATAAGTCCTAATTATTTGGAAATCCGATTTAAATACTGTTTTCTATTAAAATGAAAAAAATCTGATTTAAATAAAAAAAATCTGATTTTTTTGATTTATTTAAAAGAATCATGATTTTTTCCAGCCCTGATTTAAATCATGCCAACCCTGCTTTAAATTAATGTCAAATTTGACAGATGACACACGCTGGCCAGCAACCAAGTGACTAATCAAAATTTGATAACCCGCGTGATTAAAATTATACTCACTAGCTTTATCCTTATTTTCCATCACATTTGAACTACCAGGCTTGTACTTAGAACTACCCTCATCCTCGAGAAGTGAAGCAAACTCTTCAGCTGATGCAAACAGAGATGAAATGTCATCTTTCTTAACTTTCTTTTTAAACTTCTTAAGACTTTTTTTGGAGCTTGACTGTTCCTCTTCTTCGGAATCTGATAAAAATTCCATGTCTTCTTCGTCATCACTTAAGTCATTTACCAAGTCTAAAATATACAATTAGAACAAACCAACTTATTTCCAATACTTTATATTACCTAAGTCATCTTCATCTGCATCAAAATCATTATCACTGCCGTCAAAGCTCTCGTCTTCATGTTCAGATTCTTCGTCAATTACTTCTTCTTCTTCATCCTCATCAGTTTTCTTCTTTTTCTTATTTTTATCAGATTTGGTTTTAAGTTTGTCGCCAATTTCGCCCATATAATCAATGTCTTCATCGCTCTCATCGTCATCTTTTACACCGGTCATTTTGTCAAGCATTTCTTCAAATTCTTCACTTTGTACTGATTCTAGATCGCTATTGTCGTCTTCATCTTCTTTTAAGTCGCGTGTTTGGTATTTTTTCTGAAGATACCTAAAGTTACATTACAATTTGTTATTAAAAATTCAACATTTTAATCATTCTTATGGTCAAAAATAAAACGCTTCACAGTGGGCCTTTCAAATGACAATCAATTATATTTTCTGTAGGACTGATCCCTATATACAGGGTGGTCCGAACTGTATTCCGGAAACTTCGGCAGCATATTCTACAGATAAAAATAAGTAAAAAAGTTCGTATAAATGTATGTCCTAAAATGCTTAGTTTCAGAGATACAGGGTGTAGAAGTTTCATTTTTATTTCGATTTTTTCCAAATAATTTCTGAAGTAACGTCAATATTTGGATGAAAATTGGTGTCTGGGAGTTTTTTGACATGAGAAATTTGATTTTGATGTCAATATGACTCCTATTTGTAGAAGGCGCCACCTACATGTGTTTTAACTGTTTTGAAGCGTAATAACTTTTTGTCCGTACCTGTATAAAACTACCGAGGGAAAAATATATGATCTCTATATAATATAAAATCTCTATGACTTTTTACATAAAAAATATCTCTTTGTAAAAATCGCTACGAGCAACCGTTCCCAAGATATTTAGAATGGAAATAGTCAATACATGTCATTATTGACGAAAAATAAACACGTTGAATAGATACAAAATATTTTACTAGATACATTACATTACTAGTAGATACAAAATACTTCACTGAAATAATAAGTTTGGGAATTTTTTATTTTTTAAATTAATTATAAATTTTTCTGCCAAAAAATTATGATAAAACAGTTTCTGTTGAACTTTTGGCACAAAAACTTTCAAATTTATGATCTCAGTTTAATAACTATTGTCAACATGTTTAATTTATGTCAATGATGACAGGTATTGATAATTTCGATTCCAAATATCTCGAAAACCAATACTCGTAGCGATTTTTACCAAGAGACATTTTTTTACGTAAAAAACGACATAAATGCATATTCTTTTACTCAATAGTTTTATACAGGTACGGATGAAAAGTTCTCTTCAAATCAGTTACTCTTAAAATCAAATTTCTCGTGTCAAAAAACTCCCAGACACCAATTTTCATCCAAATATTGACGTTACTGCAGAAATTATTTGGAAAAAATCAAAATAAAAATGAAACTTCTACACCCTGTATTTCCGAAACTAAGCATTTTAGGAGATACAGTTATACGAACTTTTTAACTTATTTTTATCTGCAGAATATGCTGCTGAAGTTTCCGGAATAGAGTTCGGACCACCCTGTATATGTTGTTTATCTCTGTTGTTTATTAAAAAATTATACAGGGTGTGCCATAAAGTTCACAATAAATTGATTTTTTATTATTCAGTTATTAAATAATAAAAAATGTTTATGCGGAATTTGTTTAACAAGTACAATAAAAAAAAATTTTGACATGTCTTAATGACATGGAAAATGACAAAAATTTTCTATACACATATAAAAATTTGAGTTAGGTGACAAAATATAAACCATATAAGTGGAATAATACAATATGACCGATAAAACGGCGTCAGTGATGAAATGAAGATCGCTGTCATTTTATATGTAAAAATACAATGGGGAATGTTATCGTTCATCATTTCCAAGCCAACTGGACGCCGTTTTTTTATCATGCGGTACTTCATGATATAAACAAATCTAAAAGAGAAAGCTGTTCAGAATTTGATTTTATATCGATGTACCAAGTTTCATAAATATAGAAAAACTTTAAACAATATCAAATTTTCGATTATTCTTCTAAATAAAAAATATATTTTCGTATAAATAAAATAAGACAAAGCAAGTCTAATAAAAATAATTTTTAATACAGTAATTCTTTTTCTGTCCCGCGATAAATTGTAAGAAAAGATGATAATTTTGAGACTATAAAGTTTAAAGTTGATTTTTTTTGTTATTGGAAGAAATTCCGCATAGACTTAAAAGAATCGATTGTTGCAAAGTTTTAGGCACACTCTGTATAATTTTACAAAAAAATAGTCTTTACCGAACAAATTTCAATGTAGTGGGTTTATAATTACTATTTTCAGGAACATTTGACCCATACCTACATCAATTTTTAATAAATCGGCATTTCAAAAGCCATTATGACGTCGTTTTTTTTCCTGTCGTACGCCACATCGCATTGAGATCACGAAAATATCAAAGTACTCACGAATGAAGAAAAATCTCATCCACCGGTATATTATCATGTTTCTCATTCAGATAACTTTTAGAATTTACAGCCAATAATTTTACACCTTTTGGTTTGTAGAATTTCCTCTTGCCAAAAGTAGGATGGGCACCAGTTTTTTCTTCCAAAGTTTTCGGATTTTTAAAAACAAACCTATAAAAAAATGTCTTTAAGAATTCATCTTAAAAACACAGCAAAATATTCCTGACCTATCTAGAAACCTAATTAGTTGAAAATCTTTTAGAGGGTCTCCAGAATAATTGATATTTTTCCCGTTCAACACTTGATCAGCAAACAAGGCTACTGAAGGATGAAAATGATTTTTTAATAAAGTCAGTTCATTGTAAGCCAAAAACCTTCCACCCCCAAATAAGGGGTTTCTTGCTAAAGGGTTATATCTTAAAACGGTACGAACGTTTTTCTGGCTACTTGAAGGATTGGCATGGAACCAGCTACCACCAGAAAATACAACTGGCTTTTCATCCCCATCTGGATCTTCTTTTATTTCCACTGTCTCAATATTTTCACTTTGAATAGACGTATCTAAGTTATTAAGTGAAGAAATTTCACCCTCTTCTTCTGTCTTAATTTTAATCTCTTCCTCGTCCTTTTCATCTTTTATATCATAATATTTCTCATCTTCATCATCAAATTTAGTCATGTCTGGCAACATTGATTCTTTCAAAATTAACGCCTGAACTTCGGGCTTTTTCACAATCAGACGCGACACTAAGTATAATATTCCACAAGAAAATGACGGTTGTACAAATAAAGAAATCTAATAAAAGAATTTAAAATTTAGAAAATTAAAAAAATTGTGTGTACACTATGTGCACATATTTGAAGTGAAACTTCTTACTAACAGCTGTTGTGGTCCTCTTCAGAAGGGCCAACTTGTTGAGGGTCTTTTCGGGTGTGGAATTAATGTACACTGTTGTTTTTTAATATAACTTAACTTTAATTATGATAAACTAATTACAATAGTTACTCTGAGAGAAACTGTGAAAAATAATAACGTGTTGAAGAGTAAAAAGAGAGTTGAAGAGTACATGTGAAAAAAAAGTTTTGCGCGGAGCGGAACAGCCGGTGTGAACGCACCTTAACAAATATACTCCTTGGCACAAAATTTCGCCACCCTATAGTTATTTACAGTACAAGTGTGTTTATGAACATGATTACAACGAGTGTGAACGATTAGAACGACGAGGTCGTAGACCGAGTCGTTCTAATCACACGAGTGTTGTAATCATGTTTAAACGCACGTGTCATGTACAACGTTTTATCTACAACCGAAAAATAAGAAAAATGCTGTTTTAATTTTCGTTTATTAGTCGCCCACCTTTAACACCTTTAACTATGACATTTGTCACATTTATGCTGAAAAGTCAGTTTGTTCTGTCAAGCAAACGCGAGCACTTTTGCCCAGAAAATCATTTTAAAATTACGATGAGCTGATTCCGAAAGTCTCCCTTCAGATGTAGAACTTGCCGCAGTACGTGCCACGGAATCATTATTGCCGGAAAAGTTAATATATTTAGATGTTCGTAGTTGTTTTTCATTATTATAGCAACTAGTTGTGTTATAAATTCATAACACCACTAGTTGTGTTATGAATCTCATAACGTAACTGAAATACTAATGGTGGGTTCATACAGCCAAATAAAATAAAATAAGAATAAAATAAAATAAAAAATAAGGAATTCTTATTTGTGTGCGTTCACACAGTCAAATAAAATAAAATAAGAAATATATATTTGCTCATGCGCAGTACGATGAGGCTGGATAAAAGTTAACTTTTACGATTGTTTATAGTAATTTTACTATTTATAGTATATTTATTTATTCGTTGCCTACTATATTATACATTTTACTTATGTGAAATTATAAAATAAATTAAATCCAAACTGAAAATATTTGTAGGTTAGAATTAAGCCTGCGCAAAGCCGTTTTCACATAAAATAAAACAAGAAGTTAAAAGATAAAAACTTCTTATTTTATTTGTTATTTTATTTGGCTGTATGAACGCATGTACGGTATCCCATATAACCAACTTTCTTATTTTATTTTATTCTTATTTTATTTTATTTGGCTGTATGAACCCACCATAAAAAAATATTGATGTAAAAACGTTATAACTAAACGGTTGTAGATAAAAAATTTTACTAAGGGCTCAAACTCACTGACGACCAGGTCGCAACGACCTGGCCGTCGGCTGGCCGCATGCATTGCGTTTTTAGCTGCGGCCAGATGAACGACCAGTGTCAACAGAGTTGTCAGATCTAACGATTTTTTACGTTTTACCAATTAGAAAATATTGTTTCAGAAATGTTAAAATATCCGAGTTAACTAAAAAGCGAAGTTGCTATTCACAACAAACAAAAAGCATTGTGTACGCGCGACCGGAGATATTCTGTTTCTTTTTCTACTGATATGGCGCCCTTTATCGACTTTAGAAGTAAAACATATTCGGGCCATCGTAAAAAAAAAGATCGTCAGACACTGGCTCTAAATATAAGCAGGTAGAAAGTTTAGCTTCACAGTTATTTCAGTGTTTACAATATAACGAAGAATCTACAACAGTAATTACTTCTATTTTTATGAATGTTTAAGTTACTTTCTTAAATTTTTTTCAAAATAATGTACCTAGTAGAAATATAGCCTAATGAACCCTGTTTGAAAACGTTAAATTAAATATAATATTTAAAATGCAGTTGTCCTCCTTGTACATGACTACAATACATGCAAAAAACTAATTTAACTAATAAAAAAAACAAAGTGGTTGTAGAAAAATGACTTTAAATATTATATTTTTTTAATTTTTAACATCGAAACTTAAAGGTATAATAACAGGTATCATACCAACCACATAAAATAGAGTAGGTATGTCATATAAAAATGTTTTGAGTTTTTACTTAGAATCGACCCTTGATAAAAAAAGAAGGATTAAATTCTAAGTTTACCTTTTGATCCAGAGTGTATACTATTTCTTTGGATTTTCTGCACGTGCAAAAACTACACTAAAACACTATATCTTATAGAAAATAAAATATTGTGCCTTGAATTTGAGGGATTTCATCTGAAAAATTATTAATTTGGAAGAAAACCGGCAACAAGCGGCAGAAAATAATAATATTTCCGTGCAGTCTTCTGGCCGCAACGACCAACGGACGGCCAGGACGTTAGTGTGCGCTATTCCATTTGATTTAATGGTTTTAGAGGTAGGTGCGGCCTGGCGGGTGCGACCTGGTCGTCAGTGTGTTTGAGCCCTAAATTTGTTTGTTATGTTTCATAACTTTCTATTTTGTAATCCGATTTTTATGATTATAGTATCAGTGTGAAGATAAATTTATTGGCATTATATTTTATTATTTTAATGGCTTATATTCTTCGGTTAGGTCGGTTTATACCGGGGTAAATCAAAACGTTGTTTTTTGCAATAAATTCAAAACACCCTGTGGAAAAAATGAGACGGGCATTTTGGATAAAAAAAGACACTTTCCTGTAATCTTAGATAAGATTCTTTTATGAGCTATACATTTTTAAGTAAAATATTGATATAAGAGATTCTTTTATTGACAAAAACAATAATTTTTATAATGATATTAAGTGTGTATGTTCACCTCTTCACAGCAATAACAGCTCGAGGTCTTCGTCGTATCGAATGAATAAGGACAGTTATTCTTTCTTGATCTATAGCTTGACGAATACCAAGCTATAGGTCAAGAAACCCCTTTACAAGAGCTAAAGGTAGCATTAACGGAGGAATCTCCGCGTTGAAAGCACTTAAGGCAACGAAAAGTACGTCCAGGACGATTCTTCATTGTAAGAAACTACTCAATATATTAGGAGATGGAAACAAAGTGTCGCTAATATGGATACCGGGACATGTCGGCCTAGAGGGAAATGAACGTGCTGATTCCCTCGCCAAAACTGGTGCAGGCTCGCCATTCGTGGGCCCAGAACCGACACTTAGCGTACCAAAAAATCTCGCAAGAGACAGGCTCTGTGAATGGGTTAGGGGTGTAACGCTTCGGGACTGGTATGACAGTCCCGGAATGGAACATGCCATGACAATCATAGCAGAGCCATCCAAACGTAGAACAGATGAACTCCTAAAGGCTGGTAGGAACGGAGCGCGTACGCTTACTGCAGTATACACGGGCTACTGCCGGCTGAGATCACACCTACAGAGGATGGGACTGGTGGAAGACGCCGAATGCCGACTCTGTATGGAAGATGACGAAACAATGAAGCACGTTATGTGTACCTGCCCCGCTGGGAGCAGGACCAGGTTTGAAGTGTTTGGCAAACCCACGCTAGACCTATCAGACCTAGAAGACATATCACCCTCGGACATAACGGCCTATGTTACAAGGCTGGGTCTTGAGGGCGAACTTTAATGCTCTTTTTCTATTAAAGAGCTTGTAGAAACTGAGCCACAATAGGCCCTCGCGGCCTCAGTGGAGGGTGCCACCTGGGACTCACTCTTAGTAAAATACAAATACAATACAGCAATTCTTGAAATTTTCAAAAAAAATTTTGATGGCATTTTGGTGAACATCCCAAGGCGCAACTTTGCCCCAATTTAACCATCTTCGTATCTATTACGGTTACCGAGATACCAATGCTCGTACCTCGAATTTGTAGCACCCTGTATACGCATAAAATAAAAAATTAATAAATAATTTGATTCTCTTTCATAAAATTTGTATTAAAATATCAATATTTTTGATAAACACGTGGACTGATCACAAATACACGTCGCGTCACTATGTAATATTTCAATGCCGTTGCTGTGTCTCGCGAGCTCGTGTCTCACGGCCTTGAATTTTTTACTACCGGCGCTCGTAAAGAAGTTTCACTGCAAAAATATTCGTGTGAAATGAACTTACCTGTAACAGGCGTTTTATAAACATTTTGATTCGATCTGTTTGAGTATCTTTTAATAGAGCTTTATACAACAAAGATAAGAGCATAGCCTGATGTGTGCTGGTTAATAATTTTGAGTCTGTTAGTTTTCTGTACAATGCCGCATAAAATCTAAAATATAATATTTTTATAGCAATGTCTTGATAGAGTGTGTTTCACAGTGTTCCAAACCACCTCCATATCAGGTTGTGTATTAGATATTTTCGCGCCATTTTTATTAAAAACAATACTCGGAATATACAGGGTTATTCAAATATATTTTTACACTATAATGTTGCAATTCTGTAAATGTAATGCTGTATTTTTCTTTCTCGGTGTATTTGCCATAATACTGTCATTCCAAAAATAACAGAATATCAATTACATATAATATAATATATAATAAAATTATATAAGAGTTTCTTGCCTTGAACTGCTAATATAGAAATTAATTCCACGCTGTGTTCGACATAATGTGGATCAACCTGCTCTCACTACCGGTTTCGGGGCCCTACCCCATCATCAGGTGAGCTTGGGTCGTTTCCACAATATGTCGAGCACAGCGCAGAGTATATAAATACGACTTGTCGTAAAGTAGCGGTAAGATATTAAGTCCCGCATCGCGAGATAGCGGTCTGCGTCCAATGGTAGTACTTTCGTACCACCGAGGCACAACTATCGATAGTAAATAAAGGCTTTTTTCGGCTAGCCCAAATTATAAGCAAGAAATTTATTTTCCATTATATAATATATAATTATATCCCATGTGGTATTTGAAATATGACCATTTTTATATACTTTTTCTAAAAAAAGCTTCCTCAAAATTGTAAAATTGCAAATTATTGATTGATATATACAGGGTGGCGCACCTCATTCGCCTCGGTTGATTATACGAAAACGGAAAGATGTAGAAACAAAATATTTTATGGATATATGTGGGGAGGCAATGTGCACAATTTAAAATTATTTTGAAATATACAGAGTGTCTCAGAACTAAGATTCATACCAAAGTTATATTTTTTCTTATGGAACACCCGGTATTTTATTTCATTTTTGGATTCTTGAGCCCAAAAAAAGGTATTTATTATAAGGGTTAAATATGTTTAAAATCATTGGTTTTTGGGATATTTAAAGATATTTAAATATGCATGCTACAAGAGAATTGATTATCAACACCCTGTATATTACTTTTCAGAATTAATTCTTGTGCTGAGTTTAAAGGTAAAGAAATAAACTTTACTGAAAAATGTTATTGTTTCCTTAAATTTATACAGGGGTACCAAAAAGTAGTGATCTATTTTACGGATTTATTTTACATAAAAACTTTGTTATTTCAAATGCAACACCCTGTATTTTTTTAAATAAATCAAAGCAGATTCAAATGCTCTGTGAAACTATATTAGGGTTTCCTATACCTATCTATCTCAGATTTTGAATAAAAAGCGATTTTTAAATAGAATGGCAATCAATATAACTGGTATCGCCATGGCAATTTTCTAGTGACAGGTAGTAACTATTTTCAAAATCGACATTAGTGTATGGACATTATTATTTAAAATTTACCCATAATAGTTTAATAAGTAAGTATTCTTTATTTTATGAATAAAAATAAAGCCATATCTGCTGGTAGAACGAATGGATATGTTACTAGTGATTTTGTTTCATGAGGAAAATTATTTCTTGGTCTCAAGAGTTAATGCTCTACGATATCAAAATAGGAATGTTCCTGATAAGCGTTCCTTTGAGAAATTACTTGTCCTATTTCCTATTTCGCAGAATTGGTAGTCTATTTTATAAAACACCTATTAGGCAGAAACCTGTCGTTGGAAGTGAAGAAATTGAATTTGCCGTAATTGGCTCTTGTATAAAAAAATCATATATCTACAAGTTATCGTAAAATAAAACAAAGAACTAGTTCTTCGTTTTTCTTGATAGAATAATAAATACATATTAATAAATATTATTTATTAAACTATTTGTAGGTCAATTAAATAAAAGTAAACTGGTATAGATTTAAATAAAGTTTATAAACTAATGTCGATTTTGAAAATAGTTACTAAGTGTCACTAGAAAGTTGCCATGGCGATACCAGCCATCTTGATTGCCATTTTATTTAAAAATCGCTTTTTATTCAAACTCTGAGATAGATAGGTATAGGAAACCCTAATATATTTTGAAAGAGCATTTTAATTTGCTTCGATTTATTTAAAAAAATACAGGGTGTTGAAATTTGAAATAACAAAGTTTTTATGTAAAATAAATCCTTAAAATAAATCACTAATTTTTGGTACCCCTGTATAAATTTAAGGCAGCAATAACATTTTTCAGTAAAGTTAATTTCTTTGCCTTTAAAATCAGCACAAGAATTAATTCTAAAAAGTAATCTACAGGGTATTGAAAATCAATTCTCTTGTAGCATGCATATTTAAATATCTTTAAATATCTCAAAAACCAATGATTTTAGACATATTTAACCCTTATAATAAATATCTTTTTTTGGACTCAAGAATCCAAAAATGAAATAAAATACCGGGTGTTCCATAAGAAAAAATATAACTTTAGTATGGATCTTAGTTCTGAGACACCCTGTATATTTCAAAATAATTTTAAATTGTGCACATTGATTCCCCACATATACCCATAAAATATTGTGTTTCTACATCTTTCCGTTTTCGTATAATCAACCGAGGCGAATGAGGTACGCCACCCTGTATATATATTGTCATATTGATATAATATATATTGTCATATTGACGATATATGATTCTTTTTAAATGGAAACAATTTATAATAATGTCTTCTTCATAATTAATGAAAATTAAAATTAAAAAAAAAATAATGAGACTAAAACAGGCTAAAATCCTTGGTAGATAATAGGTATACCGGGTTTTCATAAGTGGCTAGGCTTATAACTTTTTTATTAGATAAATAAACGAGATTTGGTAAGTTAGTATATCTTCCCCTAGGAGATGCAAGACCTTGTCGTTGGTGGGGAAGCTCCTGGTCAGGTGCTGGGGGGAAACCCCTCTAGCAATTGGCTTGGTCTAAGAAGCATCTCACTCATCGTCTTGTCCCTGACTGTAGTGTCGTGGCCAGGAAATTGCACCAAGACATATAACGATACCGGGCGGGGCTACGCTCAGCCTCAACCTTGGGGCACCGGGGGGCACCCCATTGTATTTTACCCCTTACTTCTACATGCGGGGCTCTGTAGAAGTGGACCGACTGCGACTGTCCCTAGCGACTCATAGGAACACTATGAGATCTGGTAATAATAGTAATAAAAACATCACCGGTAAAGCTGTGGGGAAACCCCCTAGCGACAATGGGAACAGTAACAATGAAAGTTCCAAGGGGCCAAACCCAAAGAGAACTACAGGAGAGGTGGCTGACACTTGCGTGAGACCATCCTCCGCAAGTGACATACAAGCTACCACCTCCTTCAAGGGTCGGGAGCCTACCTCCTACCTCTAAACCCAACAAGCGACACAAGCTACTGTTTCTGCCTACTCCGGCCTGGGTCGTGAGTTCTCGACTGTGAGGGACACGGGTCTCCATAGCAAGTCCTGGGACTGTATGATGAGTTATAACTCAAGAAAGGGGGACACAATAGATCTCTAAGGTCGCAGAGATTAACCCCCCTCCCACTTATTCTAATTCTAATTCTAAAGTTAGTATATGACACAAATCAATTGTTGAAATTTTTGTTGAAATTGTTGAAAAGTTGAATTCTAATTTACATCATATACTAACATACAAAATCTCGTTTTCTAAAAAAATAAAAAGTTATAGGGGTGAGCCACTTTTGAGACGCACCCGGTATATATTTCAATGACTTATGGGACTTATGACAATGTAGATAATAGATATATTATTTTTGGATTAGACATTTTTACTTAACTAAAAATATGACAATTCATTTTCAAAAACTACAAGATTAGTGTTAAATTATTTAGTTAAATCACGCTACAAATGGGAATCCTGATACGGAGCTTTTTTGGAAGACTGAGACACTCTGTATACATTTTATTTACTAAATTTACCTATCTGCCATTTTTTCTCCAGTCACATGATAAAGCAGCATCAACACTTGAAGACTAATATTAAAACTACTCAAATGCACTAATCTATACAATGTATCTACGTGTTCTTGCATATCTTCAAACTGCATCTTTGAGTAGGGAAAAGCCCTGTTAATACCCATAAGAAGTGCCGACATCATTCTACTGTCTACATCTCCCTATCAAAATTATTTAGCAGAATTATTTAATACATTCATATAAATGTTGATGTATTACTTACCTTTTTAATGCAGGCTTTGAAGAAAGCTAAATACACACCAATCAACTTTTTAGCAACGCGTTCAGTTTCGTGACTCAGGTAAAACTGACTTAAAAAACATAAACTGTAGTACTGGGTCCTGTTGCTAATATTTGGACGAAACAGCAATTTCTCTACTTCTTTCAAAACCACCTCTTGCATGTTTGGATGTTTAAACAATAATTGTGATAAACAATAAATAGCTTTGGACGCTACTTTTTGAGAGGGGTCGCCCAGTTTGTTTATAATATACACCAGTAGATTCTGTAAAGTAAAATACAAATAAATACAACAAAAGACAACAACAATCTTCATTTCATTTTCATAGCCATTGCTGACGCCGTTTTTTGATAATATTGTATTTCAATCATCCTGAATATATCTGTAAAAATATTCTTAAAATGTGCCCTATCATTGTCTGCATTAAAAAAAAATTGGAGTAGAAAACTCAAATACAATAGAGAACCTGATATTATGGAGTTTATTAAATTTTGGGCCACTCTGTGTATCTCTTACAATGATACAGGTACAGGTAACATTAATACAAATCAAGCAATAATAAAAATAAATATGTCAAGACTGTCATAAATTTTTAGTAGTTCAGTAGGAGTTTCCTTAAAATTCCCTGATAGCCAAAATAACAGTGATATCCAATAGCTCCAGGTTTAACTAACTTAAAATGTGAAGAAAACACTTAATAAAAGACTACATTTTAAGGTATTCTAAGAAATGATGAAACCACAAAGACTAAAGAGTTCCAGATCTTTAACATCGGGTGAAAAGAAAGTGATAGTTATTGAAAAACTGAAGAAAAACGCTTCGTTTGAAAAAGTTACACCACCATGTAAAGAGAACGCTGTAGACGTAATAAAAAGTCGGAAAACAGTGCCTGGAAAACTGTCCCCTGGATGCAAGAAAGAAATTTTCATTGCAAGAAAGAAGAGCCCCATCGATTTAGGCAGTACCAGTAAACAATCTACGAATTTTGTTTGCTTTTGCAATAATGTGCTATAAACTGATAAAAAACCAACAGAACTTACCTTCTCCTGTTCTGGATTTCCGCTTAACAACTTAAACATAGCTGTAATAGATTTTTCTTTATTGTTTTCAACTGTATCCTGAGCTGTTTTATTTAAAGCCTGAACGAACTGTGTGTATATCTCTTTTAACTGATCCTCAAAGTACCAAAGACTCAAGATTTTTCGCCTTTTAATGGCATTGCCAGATGATAAATCATTTATTGTCGAAAGGGGCTTTGTGTGAAACGGTTGTAGTTTAGAATCAGGCCTCAGCAAATCAAAAAGAAACAGTTCAGTCAAGCTCTCTGAAAAATAAATATGATTTAGGAATTAAGCAAAAGGCTGATTTAAATAAAGTATGTTTACCCATGACAGTCAGACATTCTTTCTTCTTGCCTACTTTTACCATATTTACTAAATTTCGCAATGTCTCCAGATTGCAAACTGGATTATCTTGAATTGCTACAATATGGGCTGCAATTTTATCAGAAACTGTGCCACTATTCATAATTGTTTTCATCCATTGGTAATTCGTATTTGTTTTAGAGTTCTCTATTAAGAAATAAACATATCAATATTATTTTATTACAATATTATCATCCTTACTTATATTATAATTAGCTACTTCGGCATCATGACACTTTTTAGCCTCGTCTTTCAATTCTATTAAAACTTGTTCGGTTACAGGGCTCGCATTCTTATCCTCTGGAATAACTTCCTCAAACCATTTTGTTGTTTCTGCATAGTCGTCGTCTAAATCGTTAGAATCCTGCTGACTCGATTCTTTGTGGGGCTTCTGAGCAACCTTTTTCTTTTTATTAAATTTCATATTTATTTCGCACAACTCCACAACATAGCATGTGAAAAGAAACAAAACAAACTAGGTTAATATTTTCATCTGAAGTTGGCCACAAGTTTGACACTTCTTTCTATAACTTCTTTGGCCATGTGGCCATATTCCATAAATTATTTCTGACTCTGTGTTTGTGATTATACGCCAACAAAACCGTAAAGACGTCAATTTGACAAGTTGTCAAGGCCAAACCGAAAATTGTAGGAAAACAAAATTATTTAAGTTTTCCGCAATTTACTGAAAACTCCGGTTTTTAAAATAATATTAGACTAATGAAATGGCATCTGCTTTAGAACAGTTTGTAAATACTGTACGAGCTCTCTCAACACACGGTGAGTTTTAATAATCATTTAAAAATAGATTTTAGATTGAGGTTAATATTTTCTATTGAGTCGAATTTATTTAAAATGTATTCTTTTCTTTTACTATAGGTAACTTTAGAGAACTCTATGAAGTTATTACAAAATCAAACGAGGTTTTGGCGAAGAATGTTCAACATTTAGATAATGTTCTTGAGACTTTAGATTATCAACAACATTCGTTAGGAGTATTAGCCGTATTGTTGGCAAAATTTAATAGTCCCAATGTCTCACTGCCAGATAACCGATTTTTGCAAGCTCAAGAATTTTTAACCAATTGTAATATTGAACAAGTTTTGAGTGCTCCCGATCTCTGTAAGTCATACGAGCCTCAAAGTAAAGTTTAATATAGATAACTTAATTTCAGTTGCTGAGTTTTGCCATCTTTTTACTAACTATTTAGTAGAAGAAAAACAGCCTATTAAAGGTATAAGTCTTCTAAAACAAGCAATAATAAGACTGGGATATGTATCAAAAGCTCAGCTGACTTCTGTGCATGCCGATTTGTGTCAATTGTGTTTGTTGGCAAAGTGTTTTAAACCAGCATTAGAAATATTAGACGTTGATATCATAAGTATTTGTCAAGAGGTTGGTATTTATTCAGTCATAATAGCTCATACCTTACAAAGATTTTTTTAGATTACTCATGCCAATGTAACCAGCCCTCAGTTTGATGCAAAATACTTTTTATTATATTATTATTATGGAGGAAAAATCTACTTGGCTTTAAGGAACTTAGACAGAGCACTATATTTCTTTGAAATTGCTCTCACTACACCAGCCCATGCAGTTTCGCATATTATGTTAGAAGCTTATAAAAAATTCATCTTAGTCTCACTCTTATTACACGGGAAAGTTCAACCAATCCCAAAATATTCTTCCAAAGTTGTGACTAGATTTATAAAGCCATTATCTCAACCGTACAATGATTTAGCAAATGCTTTTGTTACTAACAATTCTACAGAACTAACCAATCTCATTACAAAGCACACAGATGTAAGTAATTTGAATTTTTTTTTGCATCATCTATACTAAAAATATTTTGAAGGTTTTTAATAGGGATCACAATATGGGATTGGTAAAGCAAGTGTCGCAGGTTTTGTACAAAAAGAATATACAGAGGCTAACTAAAACATTTTTGACTTTAAGCTTAACAGATGTGGCGAGTAGAGTTAATTTACCAGGACCTGCCGATGCAGAAAAGCACATTTTAGATATGGTAAACTAGTATTTTTAGTTCGATAAAAGTGTATTTTATAATTTTCTTTTCTATAGATTGAGAATGGTCAAATATATGCCACTATCAATCAGAGGGATGGTATGGTGGTCTTTAGGGATGAACCAGACAAATACAGCGGACCTCAAGTATTAAAAACACTAGAAGAAGAATTAACTTTGTGTATGGAACTGGATAATCGGATTTTATGCATGGATGAAGAGATTCAAGTATGCTTTTTTTTATTTATACAAATACACACACCCGAAAAATCTAGGGATATCATTTTATTAAAGTTAAAAATAAATGTTTTGAATAAACAACCACATATTTGTAGGTTGATTATTTCTATTTCGATTGAAACGAAGTAGTCACACTAGTTATTTCTAAATTTGGGATATTTGCAGAAGTGTTTGTGCATTTTTTGTCAAATGTTTAAACATACACATAATGTAACCGTTAGTCCCGACACTGTTCGCAATAGATTAAGAGAGGTCAACTTAAGAAGCAGACGCCCCTGGAGAGCTCAACCCTTAACGAGAGGAAATCGAGAGGTACGATATTTGTGGGCTCAAGATCATGTTCAGTGGTCGAATGAACAATGGGCCAATGTTCTCTTTACGGATGAGTCACGCTTTGGAATTCATCCGAATTCGAGAAGGCTTAGGGTATGGAGAGAACCGGGAAATCTTATTCGGTTGGATCATGTTCAGGAAGTGCACCCTTATCAAGGTGGAACAGTTATGGTCTGGGGAGGAGTCCAGTTAGGCCGAAAAACCGATCTCGTTTTTCTTGGAAGGTTTCTAACAGGAATCACATATCGTGATTTAATTCTTGAGCCTGTCGTGTTACCATATGCCAATGATTTTGGGAGAAACTTCATTCTCATGCATGACAATGCAGGGCCTCGTACAGTCAGAGTGGTAAGTGAGTTTATCAATGCTCATCAATTAAACATCTTACCCTCGCCGGCACAATCTCCTGACCTCAACCCCATCGAGCACGTATGGGACGCGGTCCAAAGAAGAATTTTGAGAATGGGTATGCCTCGTGAAACTCGTAGGGATCTGGTTCGGGCCGTGAATGCAGCGTGGCAGGCTGTACATCAAGAAGAGATCGACAACCTGATCAGGAGCATGGAGAGACGATGTATTTATTAAGTAAAAATGGTTTTTATCTTTTTTTTAATTCACAGTTTAGAATAAAAAAAAATGTGTGTATTTTTTTGAGTTCGATAAAAATCAGGCTAAATTTGAAAAATTCGGTAAATTTCGCATTTTTATTTCCAATACGTCCTGTAAACTATTTGTTTATTTTAATTTTATTATATCAGAAATGCAAATAATAAAATTGTAATATCCCTAGACTTTTCCGGTGTGTGTAGTTTAATAAATTATATTATTTTGTTTTTAGGTGAACCCGCAGTATGTTAAAAAAACATCTGGACTTCAGGACGATGAGCAACCTTCGAAAAGCACCTATGCAATGTAATATTTTTATATACTTTACTAAATATTTAATTTTGTTGGATTTTTTTTGCTCACTGTTGTTGTATATTTTTGAAAACTTTGTAATAAAACAAGATAACTCTCTAAAATGCAGTAAAACAGGATAACATGCAGAATAACTACATACACTTAAAAATAAAAGTAATTATTTAAATATATTTTAAAAAATGTGTTTTCTTTGACGGGGTAAATTATACAGGTCCGGCAATAGTGCGTCGGGCATCTGTAGCTCCTAGAATAAAAAACTTGGGAATTTTGTTTAAGTTAAAACCAAAAGCATGTCAACCTAGGATGTTTTGTATTGCAGTATATTATTGCTATTTTGGCTTTCTTTCAGGTCATTTTATTTATACCAGTATATATGTAAAATACCAAAGAAAAATTATTGGGTGGCTTTGACAAAAATTTACTGTGGAAAATGCCATATGAAATATAAAATCGCGAATATCTGCGAAACCGTTAAAAAATTTGAAATACTCTAAATACAAAAAATGTTCATTTTTTAATTATCCATCTACTGAAGAAATAATATACAGGTGTTCCATTTAAAAGAACCAAAAAACATTTTACATTTTAGAAAGTTTGATGTAGAATTTTGAACATCCTGTATTATTTTACGATTTACGATTACCATATTTATAGCAAAGTAAGTACAAACAATCTAGTTCTTCTAATATAGTTTTGATTTCAGGACAGTTCTTGTATTTTTAATATTTTTTTAAGAAAAGCTGAAAAATATATACAGGGTGTTTCAAAACAAATGCGAAAATCTTCAGGGGGTGATTCCTTGTTCAAAATAAAGGGTAGTTTGCTTCATAAACGTTGGGTCAAAAGTCAACCATTAGGGAGATATCGCGGTACAAAGGTGGCAGAAAAATAATGTTTTAATTTTTTATCTTGAAAACGAAAAGAGATAGACTAATGAAATTTTATGGAAGCATTACTGTTATGAAAACACACTTTCTGGTAATTTTCTCACTTTTTTAAAATGAGTGGAAAGGGTGGAAATAAACTACCCCTATTATACTTGTTAACGAAATTTAAAGAAAAATCTTATCAAACGCATGCAAAAAAATTTGGATAGTTTAGTTGTTTATTGCGGAAATTGTATTTCTCTGATTATAATTCCCTACGCCACTGGTGAAATCCGGTCTGAGTAGCAATAATAGTTTCAAACATTAATTATAATACATGATATTGAAAATACTACTTGGAATTATTAAAAACAGTTTGGTTTGGATGTGGTACAAGACATATTAAAAGCATTTTACATATTTTTACTGCTATAATGAAAAAAAATGTACATTTTATGACCACATAACAAAAGTTGTGTATCGATTTTTACCTGTGAAATGTAATTCCAGCCACTTTTTTCTCGCTTCAGCCTCTGCAGCCATACGCTGAACATCTCACCCTACTAAACAACACAGTTTATAAATTTAGAACAAAACAGTTGTCACAAAAAACATGAACTTTTTTATCTCTTGTGTTTTTTTGATAAAACTCATCGATTTGAAATTAAAAAATAAAATGTAAAGCATTACCCCATGTCAGGATAAAAACATTTTTATTTTTTAATATGTACTTTTTTTATTATTTTGTACTTTCATGAATTAAAATACAGAATTAAAAATTGTCTTGGTAAATAATTTTTAAGAGGTTATCGTTCAGAAGAAAATGTAACGATATTATTACGAAATAAAACTGTTTGACAGCAGCCTACTAGATTCTTTATCCAAAAATGTTTTTTGTCCTGACATGTAATGCTTTACATTTTATTTTTAATTTCAAATCTTACTAAAAAACTACTAATTTTACTAAAAAACACAAGAGATAAAAAAGTGTCTAAACAAACTAAACTATCCATTTTTTTTTTTTGCATGTGTTTGATAAGATTTTCTTTAAATTTCGTTAACAAGAATGATAAGGGTAGTTTATTTCAACCCCTTCCACTCATTTTAAAAAAGTGAAAAAATTACCAGAAAGTGTGTTTTCATAATAGTAATGCTTCCATAAAATTTCATTAGTCTATCTCTTTTCGTTTTCAAGATAAAAAATAAAAACATTATTTTTCCGCCATCTTTGTACCGCGATATCTCCGTAATGGTTGACTTTTGACCCAACGTTTATGAAGCAAACTACCATTTATTTTGAACAAGGAATCAGCCCCTGAAGTTTTTCGCATTTGATTTGAAACACCCTGTATATAGTTTTTATTTATTTATTAATATCTCTGAAACTGTCGAAATATATTTATTCATATCTTAGGATTATACATATAGTAAGTGATCTGAAAGGAAGCCAAAAATGCAATAATATACAGGGTGTTCTATTTAAAAAAAAAAACGAAGAAACATTTTATATTTTAGAAAATTTGGCGTAGAATTTTGAACATCCTGTATAATTTACGATTACCATATTTACAGCAAAGTAAGTACAGACCATCTAAAGTAAATACCTAATATAGTTTTGATTTCAGAACAGTTCTTGAATTTTTAATAATTTTTTAAGAAAAGCTGAAAAATATATACAGGGTGTTTCAAAACAAATGCGAAAATCTTCAGGGGGTGTATATATATATTTTTTATTTATTTATTAATATTTCTAAAACTATCGAAAAAAATTTACTCATATTTTAGGATTATGTTAAGTAATCCGAAAAGAAGCCAAAAATGTAATAATACATGTTGTTCCATTTAAAAAAAGCTGCCCGATCCACTCACACTTTTTTGAGCCACCCTATAGAAGTTAAAATATTTTCGTGAAATACATCCTAGTACATAGTTTAGGTTTGCGCTTAAACAAAATTCTCAAGTTTTTTATTCTAAGAGCTACATAACAGATGCCCGACGCACTTTTGCGGGACCCTGTATACGTATAATATTTCACATATGTGTTAATATTGTGAAACCTAATAAGCTTTTAGATAAATTCAGGATGAATACTTATCTGAATTAACAAGTTATTAATTACCAAAAGTGTAAAATAGAATAAGTACTGATATTTGTTTACATTTTTATCATAAAAAAATGATTGTTTGAATAGAAATGTACTGTCTCTAGCTGATATAATTGAATTACATTTTCACACAATCACTATAAAAATTGCTGAGAAACAATTCAAAAAATATTGCTTGTAGATGTCAGGAGTGGGATTCTGTAAGCTCGGTAGCAAGAAATTTCCTGTCTAGCCTATGCTATTTGTATACGATTGTTGAGTCACTAGACAGGAAACATGTTTACAGAATCAGGTCCCTCATTGTTACCTTGTTAAACTCACTGATATCTTTATCTAACATAAAAAAACAAACATCTTAACTTAAAACTTATTATTAAATAGATTTCATTGTTAACATGTTAAAATAAATACCCGATCTTTAAGTACATTATAAAATATAAATTAAGAAGTAAATTACATTTTGTACACTTCAGTTTTAAAATCACTTGGAATGTTTTATAAATGAAAAGATATATTTATAAATTTTGTGGAACACAAAATGTACTATAATACAGTATCAATATTGTTTTAAGGCTTTGGCAAGATCATTTAAAATTATTTCAACATGATTTGTGGTATTTTCATTGAAATATGTTACATCACCAACGGTCTTCTTTACCTCAGCCACATGCTGCAAGTGCTCAGGCCATGCACACTTCTCAAAATACCCAGGACAATCAGGGGGCTCATATACCCTCTTTAATCTTCGTTTGAAGCATTCTTCGTAATCCAAGGTGAAATAGTATTTCAGATCACATATATCAGCTAGAGGTTTATAATTAAGTATACAAAAACCTTCAATTATTACAACATGGCAGCCTGATTCCTTTATTTTAACAATATTCTCATGCATGAGGTTCGAAAAGCAGACTATTCTATCCCAAATTGTTATTTTTTCTGGAGCCTTTATTAGAGTTAATTCTTGCTCTATGTTCTGTTTAATTTCATCAAGCATCCGAGCCATGTCCAAGGAACTGACTATATCGAAATTAATGTGATTTAATTCGGGTATCCACGTGTGTCTTGGGTCTTCTACATCAAAATAATATTCGTCCTGGCCGAAAACCCTGCTATTAGGTAACAATTTATGTAATTCTTGTGCTGTTGTTGTTTTTCCACTGCAGGTCGCTCCGCAAATACCCAATACTAGAACTTTTTTATTGGACATGATTTGTTTATTATTCCAAGATGCGATTTTCACAATTATTCACGAATTAAACGATCACATTAATGGTGTAATCAAACCGTCTATCACAATCACTGCGTTTATATAAATGTACAATCTCTGTAAACATGCTTTTCTTGATATCATTGCTTTTAATTATTGTCTATTTTAATAAGTGAATTACGCAATAACTTTATGTTGATCTTGATATTTTAAAATTTTAAAATAAATTCAAATTGACATATTTATTCAAAGATCAATGTCACCAACATGAGAACAGTAAAAATAATTAATAAACCTTAATCATATTTTTTATATGATCGGGGATGACAGTGACAAATGACAGTTTTGTGCTTTCTTAACCTTAAAATCGGTTATAAATAAACATTTTAATAATAATAACATTTTAATATATTATTAAAAAATTATAAACATTTCATCACATTACTGTATTTTAATCGAAAAATATCTCAGAAGCAAAATGGTTTGTGATAAATGTCAGAAGAAAGTAGGGAAAGTTATTACTCCGGATACCTGGAAGAGTGGTGCCAGGAATACCACTGAAAGTGGTGGACGCAAAATTAATGAAAACAAAGCATTAACTGCCTCCAAAAATAGATTCAACCCGTATACAACCACATTTGAAAAGTGCAGGTAGTTATAACAAGTATAGGTAATTTGTTTATTGTGCTAACGAACTTTACTTGTTTTTCAGAATATGTAAACAAGTGGTGCACCAAGTCGGGTCACACTACTGTCAAGCTTGTGCTTATAAGAAAAGTATTTGTGCGATGTGTGGAAAGAAATTAATGAGTACAAAGAACTATAGACAATCTTCAGCGTGAAGAATAAATGAGTATTTTAGTTGTATTGGGTACTATTTAATTATTTTTTTGGGTATATCGGTAGCATAATAGAATAAAATTGTTAAAAAATGAACTGAAGTTGTGCACAGGAATAACAATGTAATATTATAGGATAGAATACCAATTATTTATAATTAAAAATAGTTATAATTGCCTGTGTATATGTACATAGTATATTTAATAGATGGAGGGGGGAGGGGTACTCAAAAAGTAATATAAATAAAACAAATCTTAATACTTTAAACAGTAATATAATGGTCCATTTTATTACACACATAATTATCTTCTTATATCTTTAGAACAAATAATCTCCTTTGTTATAATTATAACCAGAAATGTAATTAGATTGTACAAACATAATTGTTTTCAAAAGGATGTATATTTATTTATAAGAAAAACAATATATAGAAATACTTTATTATCATATCTCTATTTTACATAATTAGTTTTGTAAACATAAAAAAATATTAAGAGTATTAATGACATTTTCCTACTTTATTTTTTGTTTTAGCAATAAAATATCTTATATACACCCAGTAGTTTTGTGTTCCAATCAAAAAATTATTATACTTAAACAATAATAAGGCACATATTACAGTTAAAATTTTAACAACAAAACTATAGTCTTATACTTAAAAATATCATTTTCAAAAATATGGTGAAATATATACTATTAAGGGCTCAACCAAATATATTTTAAAATAATAGTTATATTTAACAAAATGTTCGCAAAATAAAAGATAATTATAAACACTTAAGTACAGCACCATGAATTTTTTGAGCATAATATGAGGTATATAAGAGTAAAATCGTTAGTTTTTCTTGATTATGCTGTGTGATGTCTAAAATATACAGTACACTATCTTGGCACTTGCTATACAAACAATATAAATTATCTATGTTGGATACCTATAACAATAACAACCTAGAGTTGTCAGAAATACTGAAATAACAATTATTTGTAAGTATCTTATCACTATAAATCTATCACCTCTGTTCAATAGTCTTTTACATTTTGAACCATCCTCTACTTGTCTTTGCCCACTGTAACGTTGCTAACATTGCTGTTTGAATTAAAGACCCATTGCTTAAAGCTGCTTTCAACCCCGCCATTTGTAGACAAACCATCGTCACTCTTCCTAGGCGCAATAGGAGGTTTACTGTTCAATGTAGGTAGTCCAGATGGTATTTTCGAACTGTTTCTTATGGAAGTTACCGAAATATTCTTACTACTAACACTAGGTGGTTTAATTTTCGATGTAAAAGGTGTGGAATGTATGGACGATGAAGACATCAGCTCTAAAATAGCCTTTTCGTTCTCATTTTCCAGATTTCTGGAATCACGTCGTTCTGGACTAGTTGGCGGAGTCTTCATCGTCGTGGAGATAGGAATGCGAGACTTTGGAGGAGTGGTGTTGTCCCTTTTGGGAGGACTTCTGTCACCTGAGGCTTTTTCGAAGTTTGACCTCAACAACTCGAACGAGTGTCTTTTTTCGGGAGTCCTTCTAGACTCCTCGTAACTCGAGGTACTAAACCTCATCTCTGGAAGAGTTTTCAGCTGTTCCTCTGCGATCTCCTGGATTTTACTAGCCTGTTTCTCCGCGTCTGTCTTCTCTTCCAGAACGATGGATTTGGGTTCGTCCTTGATGAACTCATCCAAGCTGGTTTCAAAATTATCTATGTTGTCTTCAAATGATTCAAGCCTGGATTCGAAATTCTTCACGTATTTCTCAAAGGCCGTGTCTAAGTTGTCCTTGGTTGGACTGACTTTGACTTCAGACACAGCGTTGCTAGTGGGCGTGCACACTTGAATCTCGGTGATGTAAGTTTTTTGGTCGTCCTCTGAAGTTTGATTAACTTCTTCAATATTTTCGTCTTCCAGAGGTTTGATTTCTGTCAGAGATATGGCAGGACTTTCGTCATCTATGCTCTTAAATGTACTTTTCTCAATGATAGTTCCAATAGGAATAGGTTCTATAAGAGGGTCTTGTATATGGAGTTCCCTGTTAAGTATTTGTAACATAGGTTTATCTACTTCAAACGTAGAATACTTGCTTTCAGTGATTTCGACTTTGTAGTCATCTTGATGATCTCCCTTTTTCACTGTGATAAATTTGTTTTCATTCACACTAACAGGGATCTCTTCCGCTCCTTTAGTAACTTTTGAAAACGAACTCTCAGTTATTTCCACCACAGGATCAGCGGTCTGCGATGTTTCTATTTTCTTTAGAGTTACTTTGTCTGGTCTGGATACTATAACGGTAACTTCGTTTGTAGGACCTTCTTCGAGAACAGTGTTCTCCAGAGCGGTAGTGTACAGCTCACTGGGTTCATTATTAATGCTTAAATGCAAGTTTGAACCGCCGTTTTCCATTACTGTAACATGACTGATTAATTTATCCTCCGAAATAGGCACATCGAATTTAAAAGAGGGCTTTTTTGCCTCCAAACTTTCGAAAGTGTTTCTCGAAACTTTGACGTCGTCTGGAATATTAGTATCTACTTCGTACACTGATTTCTCATTAAAAATAAAGTTCGCAGTTGCATTTTTTATGTTTCCTGCTGTTTTCGATTCATCTGGAACATTAGATGGTGACGTGGATACTACAGTTACGTCATTGGTGTGGTTTTTGTTATAACTATCCAACACTTCTTCCACTAGGGTCATAGAAGGTGCTGGGGATGACGCACCATGCAAATTATCAACTTCCCACTCATCTTTGATCATCTCACCGTCAGGATTCCTACCTTTCGCTAGTCTAGAACACGTTTTCACTATGCTGTGCTTCTCAAACGAAGTGACAGGTACTTTGTTAGTTAAATCGATTACCGCTTCTTTTTCGGGAGTTTTTTCTCTTTTAGGAGGCACAGGTTTAATACATTCGTACTCCACTAAAATGTTTGTATTTGGTGCGTTGGTGAGGTTGAGTAGAGAATTACTTCTTGGACTAATTGAAGGTTTTGACGGTTCTTCATGCACGTCTACTTTAAGAGTCGATTTCGGAGAAACCTCCAGTATATTTACGAGTTTCTCACCGTTTTCTTGTTCGTGTTTTTCTTCAAAACTTTCGTCAGAATTTGATTGAAAGATTTTAGGTTCGTGGGATTTAGGAGCTCTTTCCGGAACTACGGGAACTTGTTGACGTTTCGAGTAAAGAGGTTCTTCAGACTCTAGTCCATTTTTCGAGACTTTTTCAAACTTTTTCCATCCAGAATTTTCGAATCTTATATTTTCGATCTCTTCCTCGTCAGGCCATATTTTATTACTCGCAGTATCAGCTGGAGGATGCCACAGTTTCGGTTTCTGGTACTCTCTAGCGACTTCATCAGGAATCACCTCGATTCCTTCGTTTTCTTTTTTGATCTGGATGACCCGATCCATCACAGCGTTGAATTGGGGTTCAGAATACCTTCTTTGGTCCCATTCTTCGTCACTTTTATCCACGCTTAAGATGGCGTCTTCTAGATTTCCCCATTCCGTTGACTTCTTCAGCCTGTTCCTCTGGAATGTGTTCAAACCGTCCAGAATCAGAGACAGGCGAGGTTCTCGGTCAATTAACAGGTTGTCCCTCGCGTCATGGGTCTCGTTTTTGGTTAGAGTTGGACCTGTATTGTCGGTAATATCCAGACTCTGGGCTCTCTCCAATGTTCCAGAGTTAGATCGCGGGGCTTTCTTCATTTTGGACAAATCCCCAGTGCTGGCTGTCTTCCTAGCTTGTCTCTCCTGGTCCTCGGTTTTATGTATGGTGATGTCGCTAGCGTTTAGTTCGATGGTGTTGACGGAAGACAGGGTTCTGCTCATTTCATCTTCGGAATCTGATCCGTATCTTAAGTTATTTTCGCTAGGAGAGGAATCTCCTGTTCCTAAACCGCTCAGATCTTCAAAGGCTCGAGTTTTTCCCGATCCTAGTCCAAAATTGAGCTTAATCTCGCCAGCGGGTGGTTGTGGGGCTTTTGGTTTGAGCTTACCCAATGACTCTTCTTCGTGTATACCGTTTTCAATAGAACTTTGTCTGTTTCTTCTGGCTGCTACGGCAGCTCCAAGCATGTGTTCGGGGATTTCTAGGGGAATCCCGTTCTTGTCCCTTTTTATTCCCGAATCGTTACGCTGGAACGCAGGTTCAGGGGATTTTTTCTCGCGTTTTTTTGCTTGAGGGGGTTGAAGTTTGTTAGCATCGACTTCATCAATACTCCTGATCGGAATTTCTTCAAAATTCTTTTCAATATTGTAATTATTCTGATTCTGTTCCACTATCTTCGGACTTTTTTCCAAATTATCAAAAGGTAAAACTTTCACACCAAACTTATGACTCTTATTTTCGGATTTTTGCAAGTCTGACTCAATTAAATATGATTGGTCTTTGAGTCTGAAGTCTTCCTCGGACATTCTCGTTTCCAGATGGGTTTTGAGTGACTCAGGTGTCATTTTTTGAGGTGATGTGTCGGCTTTTCGCGGTTTGGGTTGGTTGGGACGTGGTGATTTGGACTCTTTGCGTTCCAGAGTGGTCATGTTGCTCCTGGATTTCTGTAAGCTCGAGTAGTTCGAGCTGGAAGAGTAGTCGTCGCCGAAGAGCTTCTTTTTCGAAGATTTCTCAGCCTGAAAAAGTCAAAAAGATTTATAATTAATACCTTGTATGTAATTGTAATTATGTCTGTTCTCTATTGGACTTTTTGTACATTTTTCATCCGAATAGTTTTCTTATAACTGAAAAAATACCTACACGTAGTGTTAACAGTTTTAAAAACAATTTTTCTTCAATTTTATTTCAACAAATAATTTTTCTATATGGGAGCAGTTAAAAGAAAAATAACAAAATTCAGAATTAGTTAATTCCATTAGAATTAGGGATGGGCAAATGCAAACTCTAAAACCAAGACTCCTTTGATCTTGCAGTCTACAATAAGTAGTCTTGATCTTAGACTTGGTCTTGCATGTTCCAGTCTTGGTATTGGTCTTGGTGCAAGACCTTTGCAAGTTTTGCAAATTCACTACACAGAAAATCTTTAAATAAAATGTATTTTAAATAATTTTATATAAATGAAACTTTAAAAAGAGAAATATTTTTCGGATAAAAAAATAATTTTCATATACAGAGTGAGTCTTAAATAAGTGCAAATATTTTTATGGGTAGTATATTTCGAGTCCAGAAATACATCTATGAGGCTTTTTTTCACGAAAACATTTTTGAAAATTCGGATTTTTTTGAAAAAGGAATAGAAATTTTAGAATTTTTAGTTAAAAAACATAATACCTTCATAATATGGCAATATAGGAAGTAGATTACATTTACATGAAAGAAAACCCAGGAAAGATCCAGTCAGTGGTTCTCAAAATTTAAGCGAAAAAACAATTATTTGTTTTTGAAATTATGAAAGTAAAATATCTCAGTTATTTTGGACTTATTTGAAAAACGATAAAGAGAAAATAATGTTTTTTTTATTTAGATCTACGACCAGCTCTGAAAATATTTGCGCTTATTTAAGACTCACCCTGTATATTTAAGAAATATGACGAGGGTTAATTAAAGTGTAGTCCTGACGAAGACAATATAATTTGTCGAAACGTTGGCCTATCACTGAATAAAAAACTGGATTATTTCCTTTGACGATTAGATACGATTAAGGATACGTCTATTATTGCCATGAAGTTCTGCAATAAAGAATAGACTCTTTTTATACTTACATGATAGAGATCGATAAAACTAGAGCTTCTATATACAGGGTGAACGAGGTTCTGCCCTTGTCCCTGGGTGTATGATAGAATCCTACCACTCTTTGCTTCAATGATCACTTCGTAAGGACTAGCATAACTCAGTATATTCAGAGCATCTTCGTAGACCATGTGTTCAAAACTGATAGTCACACTGTTTATTCTATCACCTTGAAAAAAATATATTTTTTTTAGTTTTTTTAAATTTTAAATTAGTCTAGTTGATGGATATATTACGCTCAATAGTCGAATTCGGGCAATGCTCGAGAAAAATACGCAAATCTAGTTTTGAGCAAAGAATATTTCCCAACCCCAAAAATTAATTTTATTCCATTATTTTTTTTTGCTTATAGTGTGATTTGATTGCATTGGTTTCACTCTTTTTGGTTGGATTGGTTTAGTTATTTGGCAAGTTGGTTAGCGTGGTTATTTGGAGGGTGTTAATTCATTGGTTAGTTGGTTTTTCGGGTTGGGGAAATATTCCTTTGCTCAAAACTAGATTTGCGTATTTTTTTCGGGCATTGCCCGAATTCGACTATTGAAGCGTAACAGATATATCTTTTATCTTATATCAGGGTTTGTTAAACTTATAACTATAATGAAAAGATATTCTTTTAGTTGGATATTTTGATTGGAGATGATTAAAAACAAAAAATTGATTGCTCACCTGAACTGAGTTTTTTGGATTCAAAAGCTGGACCCCTGTGTAAGATATCCTTAATATAGATCCCTTCCCTCATGTTGCCGCATATGTTAAAGCCCAATCCTGTAAAGTCCTGGCTTTTTAATGCCACCACTTTGACTTGACTCTGTAAGAAACATAAAAAGTAAATACTTTAATATTGTTATAGGTCCTATACACATACACCAATGAAATTCCTCTTGTTACAAAAGAGCGTACCGTCCTATTTGCCGATGACACCTCTATAGTTTTTAGTGAGGACGATGATGAATTATTGTTGAGTAAAGCTACAGATTCGCTACATGCAAGAGTACTTTGTGGCAAATGATTTATCATTAAATGTTGCAAAAACGCAGTTGATGCTTTTAGAAAAACGAGGTAGCAGTTCATTTGTATGTAGATGATGTACAATGGACATAAAATTGTTTCTACAGACACGGTAACTTTTTTGGGTGTGCTTGTGGACAAAAAATTGGATTGGAAGGTTCAGGTATCCAATGTCTCGGCGGGGATTGCCAGATATAGTTATGCCCTCAAAATAATTGCGGGAAGTGTTGGAACGGAAGCAGCTATAACTGCATATCATGCTTATGTACAGTCTACATTAAAATACGGGATCATTTTTTGGGGAAATTCAACTGACATTTCGAGAGTTTTGGTGATACAGAAGCGATGCATCAGAAATATTCTCAAGCTTCAATATCGAGAAAGTTGTAAGAAAACATTTATTAAAAACAACATTTTAACTGTAGTCTGCCTTTACATATTGAATGCAATACTGTTTGTTCATGAAAATAAAGACCTTTTTAATCATAATAAGCTAGAGCATGATTATGATATTTACAAGTAATAAGCTAATATTAATGGGTAAGAGGTGTAACTTTAGTTATATTCAGAAAAATGTTAAGAACTCCTCAATATCTGTATATAACAGTCTTCCTGAAACTGTTCGCTTGCTTCCTATAAACTGATTAAAAACAGCAGTTAAAAAGTACTTGATAAGTAAAGCGATTCAGTGGACGACAATGACAGGATTAATTTGTTATTAATATAAATTTGGAATTTTGTATATACCTATATATTTTTTTCTGCTTTTTCTGTGTTTTTTGTTTGTTAACTACTAATCATATATCACGTATATGATTATATATTTTTCTTACTTCTCTGTTAATTTAATTATCTTTTATTATTCACAGTAATAGTGAACATTTTTGACATGTTCTACACCATTCGGGATATTTGTATGTAACATTTGTTATTATACTTAGAACTAATAAACAATTATCTATCTATCTATCTATATATGATCAAATAAATTTTCAAACAAGAAATTATTTGTGTTATATGTACTAATTCGTTATATTTTATGTATATGTAATAGCTTTTAGAGTTTCTGTTACCTCAATATTTGAGTCATCCAACGCCCTCTTCTTTTCTGATGACTTTAAGTGAAGACCGGACAATGGAGCCCAGTGTGTCCATTTTGCCTTGTTGCCACTGTCTAACTTTGAACTTTTTTCAGTCGTCGCCAATATAGTCGTATCTATAAATATAGAAAAACATCTAATAAATTAATATCATATTTTCATATACCGGGTGCGTCTCAAAAGTGGCTCACCTCTATAACTTTTTTATTTTTTAGATAAAAAAAACGAGATTTGTTATGTTAGTATATGATATTAAATACGACTTATAACGATAATATGACTCGAAATACCAAGTGTGTTGTACCAAATTATTCGTAAAAAATGCTTTTTCCAACTATGCTAATGAGCCACCCTTGTTCCATTTGAAAAATTGAGATATGATTAAAAATACACGATTTGGCCATTTTTTAACCGACCAAGACAAGACACGAAGAACATTAGACGATCAAATCTATTTTTCCAAGCCTCCTTGATTAAAAATTAATGTTTTGAACACAGCCACTCTAGATTGAAATTTAAAATACGATTTTTCTTTAAAGTTGACATGTGATATTTCATTCTATTCAGTGTCATTTTCAATCGAATAAAGCAAAAATATACAGAGGGTGCCATTTAAAAATCAAAAGTTGTAATCATTTTCGGTGAAATAGGAAGTGACAGAAAATAATCGAATACGTCAATCAATCCTAATTTATGTCAAATATTAACATACCAAATTTCGTTTTTTTATTTGAAAAAAATGGGTGAGCGACTTTCGAGACGCACCTGGTATAACTTTTATCAGTATTTCAATATTCGATAAAAAACACAAAATGGGATATTTTGAAATCTACACGATTTGATTTCAAAGATTATACCCATTTATATTTATCGTATTTTCTATGTACCTCTAATTATAAACGTATGCAAATATGACCAATCCCAAAACAAACAGGTAGCTCGTAATGATGGTACTTGTCGTACTACCTATATCCGCCTCTATATTTTTCGCAGTATGACGCAAAATATTTAACCTAAACAGGTTTGGAATGGGCACAGAAAGTTTGCTATAGATTCATTCGGAAACTATGTAGGTATAATAGAGTACCCATAAGTTAATTATGCCATTACGCGCAACCAATCAGGTTGAGTATTTAAAATTACTTTTATACAGGATGAAAAAGAAATTAAAAAGTGTTATTTTCCTCTTTTTATCATTTGCTTTGCAGTAAAGTTATGGTAAGTTTTAGAAAAAAAAAATATTTTTGAAGTAAGAGTGTAAACGTCAAAGTGTTGTTAGATCAACATTTTATTCAATAGTTATTATTTATGCTCAGTAACTTTTTTATCATTTGATCAGTAGCGTGCCGTGGGTAAAAGGGCGGGGTGGGCGAGCTATACTATGTTCAGGTTGCGATTTCATTAGGGCGCGTCACTCTGTCAGAGCTAAGAGCGGAGGGGGCAATCGCCCCCCGTGCCACCTATACGGCACGCCACTGCATTTGATTACATTTTCAAAATTCCTCTGTTACTTGAAGAAGCAGTTAATAGAAATTTCTGCAAGGCTTTATATCCTCAAAGGCGCTATTTACGTTTAATCAAGCGATTAAGAGTCTATTACGCTCAGGGTTGGAAAAAATCTTGATTTAAAAAAAAATCAAAAAAATCAGATTTATTTGATTTAAATCAGATTTTTTTTATTTTAATTCAAAACAATATTTAAATTGGATTTTCAAATGACTAGGACTTATTTCCAATTAAAGTCCTATCCTAAATGGCTAAATCTTTATAACTCTGCCCGTTATCGATAACATTAATAATTCTAGGGTGCGTTTTGTCATTTTTCCACATCGGTCACCAATATATTTCGCAAAAAAGTCGCTCGCTTCAGATCAAAAGGATTTTTTTTTCAAACGTCTCAAAAGTATTAATTTTTGTCATTTTAACGCCTAGGTATAAAAGTAAAGCACTGTTACGCCTAAGCACAAAAGTACAAAAATATATTATTAAACAAAAAAAATATTAAGTGTCAAATTCAACGAGCATACAAATTGTTGCTCGATTGCTGTTTATATTATTTCCAATGTTTGTAATGTTTTAAAAAAATAGTATGTATGTTCTATTAAGAGTAAAAATATACTTTTTGTGCTTCCTTGTAACGTCGGAATATACGATGGTCCTTCAAAGGTACAGTATCATCAAAAAATGTATAATTTTTACTCCTAATAAAACAATACACTATTGTTCGGAAATACTCTTAAGTTGAGAATACCTAGCCATTACCGCTTATTTTCCTACTTTTTCGGAAATGGTGGTAGTGAAATGGACTAAACATTCTACTATCATAATAGCGCCTTTGATAATATAAAGCCTTGAAACAATTTCTTTCAACTGCTTCTTCAAGTAACAGAGGAATTGTGAAAAAGTAATCAAATGGTAAAAAAGCTACTGAGGCTATCAAAATGTGGATCTAGCAACAATTTGACGTTTAAACTATGACTTCAAAAATATCTTTTTTCAAAAGCTTACCATGACTTCACTGAGGCGTCGTTTCTTGTTCACTGCCATTGGCATTTCAATTATATTTGACATTAATTAAACTTTTAGTTACGTAATCGAGAGCGCGGTTTTTAAATTCATTGTTGCCAACCATGGATATATTCGGCGCCGGGCTGACTAACTGGAATTTAAATTTCGCGCTGGGGATTCAGGTGGTAGCTCTGCTGTAAAAAATGCCAAGTTGTCCCGTTTATTTATTTATTTCCTGACATTTTCATCCGTTTCTGCATTTTAGCTTTGTATTACTAGTTCTTGGTTTAAATAAACAGTGTTATGACACTTTAAGCTTATAAATGCAGACCTTGCAGTCGAACATTGTTCTTTTTAGAACCTTTAGTGCGAAGTATACAAGATTAATAGCCGTAAAAAACTAATCGCAACTTTATTAGAATATTTTGAAGGAGAAAGCGGTAGTAATGGCCCTTTATGTCCCTTAGTGCTGTTAAGGTGAGTTTTCTCGATGTAAATAACTGTTTAAACGATTTGTAATTAATTAATTTTTTTCCTAAAATATTTTGATTAAAAGAACATATACAGGGTATCTCAGAAATAAGTGCAAGAATTTTAATTGGTAGTATATAGTTCAACGCCAGAAACACGCCTATGAGATTTTTTTTCGCGAAAAAAAAATCAAAATTCGAAATGTTTTCAAATTTTTTTTTAGTTAAAAAACATAATTTCTTGATAATAAGTCAACATAGGTATTAGATTAAATTTACAAGAAAGAAAATCCAAAAAAGATCTACTGATTCTCAAAATTTTTAGCAAATCATTTTTTTTGGAAATTTTCAAAGTAAAATAACTCCGTTATTTTGGACTTATTTGAAAAACGATGAAGAGAAAATATGTTTCTTTTATCGAGATCTACCACCCCTTAAAATACGTGCACTTATTTCTGGGACACCCTGTATAAAAGTGGACAACGCTGTGCCGGTCAAGTGACACTAATCACGTGACTAAAAATTTATTTGGTATGAACTGTATATTAGATGTTAATACATCTGGCATTATGGTATTCTGGTATATTATCATTATTAGAATAAATGAAATGAAAATATAACAAAAGTAATTTATTTTACTAGGAAGGATATTAATAAACTAGTTATAGGTCAAACTATTAAAAACAAAAACATATCAATAATATTATTTATATTACTTTAACACTTCTTTGTCCACATAAAATATAATCAAATTAACCTTAACACCGAGCTTAATTTACGTTTAAAAGCCAGAAAAGCTATTTTATGCTTTTTCTTATTCAGTTCTTTTTCTGTTCATTGTTTTTGCTTACACAAGTCAAGGTTAGTGGTTACACGGTAGCATTAAACGCAATTGAAATGAAAATTACTATCATTAAATGGAAATTACATTTTCTTAGATGTTTTTCAATAAACTATTTCTATATTAAAACGTATTCGTTGGATTTTATTATTATAAAAAAAACTGTGTTATAGTCTCACTTGCACACCTTCATGTATCATGGGTTCTGGATTTTGACGATGTGTAGATATGGAAAATAATGGAAAAATACTAGAGGGGCATCAGGCATGTTAAAAAGAGACAAAAATGTCAGTGTCCTTGTTACCTATATATGTCTCTTAAAATTGGACAATATACCGGATCCCAAGTAAGTGCAAATATTTTAGGGGTAGGTATAGTCTATGAGTTTTTTTTTCGCATTTTTTTTGAAATTCGAAAATTAATTTTTTGAAACATTTTTTATTTTTAGTTAAAAATCATATCTTCATAATATGGCAACATATATGTAGTAGATTTTACAAGTAAGAAAACCTAGAAAAGATCCAGTGGTTCTCAAAATTTAAGCGAAAAATCTTTTTTTTTAATTTTGAAAGTAAAATATCTCGGTTATTTTGGACTTATTTGAAAAACGGTAACGAGAAAATATGTTTCTTTTATCGAGATGAACCAGCCCTGAAAATATTTGCACTTATTTAAGACTCACCCTATATATCCAATTTATATTGTATGAACACAACGGATGTCTTTGGTGCCAAATAAAGAGATATAATTGATTTATTACAATAACTAAATATATATGCGGCAATGGTACTAACCTTTGAATCCTGGATTGTCAAAAGCATACTCTGCCTTTCCACCGCGCTCTGGATCAGATTCCAAAATTAAGTGGTTCTCTGCAACAAGAAAACAAAAATAATTAAAAAAATTAGATAAAATTCTATTAATTAAAATAAATTATTATATCTGAATGTCATTGGCAGCTAATAATAGTAAATTTAGAAAATTTAATCTAACTATATAACTTAATTAAATTTGGAAGTTAGGAAATCCCTACTGTCAGTGTATAAAATAAATTACATATAAAAACAAATATTAAGAATCAATATATTAGAATCAATGTCATATAGAGCTTAAGAGATGTACAGACAAATAATACAAAAATGCATAGTGGCAACAATGTACAGGGTGTCCCATTTAGGTTGAAATCGTACGGTACCTCCGTTATTCGTGAAGATGTAAGGGTGCGGTTTCCACAAACCTGTGCCACTTTTTTGTCAAACGAAAGATGCTGTAAACAAAATTTTCATAGCCCTCTTCGTTTCTGAGCTACAGGGTCTTTTTGAAAATTTTGCAATTTGGGACACCCCCTGTATCTCTGTTATTGTTAAAGGTATCGAGAAGGTCAAAACTGTTTATTGTAGAACTTTCTACGTAGAATACAGTAGCGTAGTCTGTTATTCTATAGGAAAAGAATATTTTTAAAGATATGAACTAAACTTATGCTTTCTTAAATGGAACACCCTGTATATTTATTATAAATTATATGATCTGGCCTGCCATAAGCTTCTGAAAAATATATATCACTCTATATTTGTTTTCACTATTTAATGCAATATTTAAAAAAAAATTAAAAGATCAAATTTATTAGTAGGCCATGATTGATAATAAAGAAAACTAAAGAAATTATTAAAAGTATACTATTATCTGTCTCTTGTTTTATTTTTAGAACCATTTATTAGTGGCTTCTTTGACCATTAGGGAAACTTAACTCTCTACCGCTATTTCTAAATCTTGGAAGCTATCGTATCGGGACTTTTAAATATTCCTCTAGCTAATTCCTCCTCACGACTTAAAAATATTTTTTTTTGGTAGAGAAACAAACTACGCCACTGTATTCTGCATAAAAAGTTCTACAAGAATCAGTTTTTACCTTCTCAATATCATCCATAATAACGGAGATACGGTGGCTGATCCAAATTGCAAAATTTTCGAAAAGACCCTGTAGCTCAGAAACGAAGAGGGCTATGAAAATTTTGTTTACAGCATCTTCCGTTTGACAGAAAAGTGGGGCAGGTTTGTGCAAACCGCATGCTTCTATCTTCACTAATAACGGAGATATCGTATGATTTCAACCAAAATGGGACACCCTGTACAATATTTCCAGTAACAAAAAATATAAAGATCATTTATTGGAATGAATATATTCTCCAAATAACGATATTTTTTTATCGATTAGTGAAACTGAAAAAGAACTAAAAACCTATCAAAATTTTAGTTCCTTTTTGTCCAAACATTTTGCAGAATATTGCAAGTGATAACTCAACGATGATGTAAAATTAAATCATACACAGTGTTACGAATACTAATTCCCACATACCATATGCATTTTCTATGTACCTCAACCTTAATTTGTTTAACCATACGTACACATTATTACGTACAACATAGAAAACGTATTTATTTTCAATCGAATATTGCGTACATAACAATGGCGGTGCGCAATGGCTTGGGCAATGAGCCTAATTGAATCAAAGAATTTGGGTTACTAATTGACTATTCTTGTAGAAGCAGACTAATTATTTAATCAATTACGGTTAAATTAACCTAAAAATAGATAAAGTAAGCGTACTTTCCAAATAGGCATATGATTAAAACTGTTTATAATCGAGAAAGATTTGAAAGTGATGATTTTGTTTAAAAAATTATTAGTTAATACCAAAAGTTTGATTGAATATTAGAAATCTGCGATTATTAGGGAAGTACCTACTAGTACTACTACTGCCATTACTCGCTGACGAGTATTTGACACGCATCAGAAGATGGTATGAAACGCGTTTCTTTCATGAGCTTTTCTGTGACTGAAAAGCCCGATACGTGATGTTATCATATGAAAGCAGTGCGAATCCTCGCAGGAGTGGGTTACCCTTGATCACTGTAAACCACACTTTGTTAATTTGCAGATATTGACTCTACCATCTTTATACATTTTATGTCAATTGTTAGAAATTCACAAGAACAAAGATAGTCTCTTGTATAACTCTGATATATATAACTATGGCACAAGATCCGCTCATCTTATAAGAGCAAATAAATTTAGGCTCACCAAATCTTCAAGAAACTCTTTAAATATTGAATTGTATAATGTAATTCCTACCTCCGTCAAAAGTTATAATATTTGTAAATTCAGGTTCTGAAGAATTTTCTGATAGTCCATACGTTCTACTCGGTGGCGGAATATTTTAATATTATGAACTTAACCACCGACCTAACTTAAATGTCGTATTCATCGTTTATACACTGTATTTTGTATTTTTATTTTAGTTTGTATATATTTAACTGTTTTATAACATGCTACAATTGTATCTTGTTTGTACAAAATGTGGTCAAATAAAGCAATCTATCTATTTATCTCCCTTCCGCACTCCGGACATTCAAGAATCTCAGTGCTTTGTTGCCTCTTTATTTTTTGGTTGTCGCTGTTAACTGAGTTCCCAATTCTTCTCCATTGAGTTCTATTAAGGGCTGCTTTTTCCCACTGATACTCATCCCCTTTAAGTTTTCGTGGAAAATATCCTTGTACATTTTAGGTTATCCACCCGGTTTCCTCTTAGCGTCTACAAGCTCACCGTAAAGAAGAGATTATGGTAGGCGGTTGTCTTGCATCCTGATGCTTACGTGACCAGTCCATCTTAAACGGGATTTAGTAATCATGATTTCAACGCTCTCGCAGCTAGTTTTTCAAGGACCGATACGTTTGAGACATGGTGAAACTTAACTATCTGGTTCTTAAGACTTCTCTGTTGCAACTTGTTTAATGCGTTCATGTGTCGCCGGTACGGTACCCAGGTTTCGCTTTGGTATATTGAAACACAACATACTTCCACATTTTGAATGTATAGTTACTTCATATACATCTGGATGAAATATATAATACTAACAGCACCGTCTAACAGTGCTACGCTAGAGATCCGATGGCCCCTGTAGAAGCAAAATAAATTAAAAAGTTCTTTTTAAATGCTCAAATTTATTTATAAAGTTACTAATTATTAACTATGAGTAGTACCACATAATATAATAAGAGTTTATTAGAACCTATCACGGTTAGATAATATTGATAACTTAAACAATAATGACTTCTCAATTTTTATGGTATTGCTCAATGGAATGACTTTATTGTCTTAGGACCTGTGGATAGTCTTATCCACAGGTCTTAAGTATAGGCCTTATGTTTCTCGACCTTATTATATTCTACAGTATGATCGATAAAACCATCAAGTTACAGCAGAAATGTGGATCGACGCCATAAATTGTATTATTATAGAAACAAAACTATAATCCATTGGTATTTCGAGGATAATTTGACGCCATTTTTTTTCGATCCTACGGTATATAACATTTGTCTCTACGGGACATGAATAAACTTTTATCATACCATCTACATACCTAAGTAGTCTTAAGCAGTTAACTTAAACAGATGTGGTTGTGGTACTATTTATCGGCAAAGAGAACAAGTAAGTAGAGAACAACAATGCAATTTCAAATGCGATATAGTAGAACGATATATCACACTTCATTGCATAAACATACGATGGCTGTGAACACGGTCGATGGCATTCCTAGGTTAGGTTTAGGTGTACATGATAGCTGTATGGTGAAATATGGGACAAAATATCAGATTTAAGGTGATGGTATTCAGTGTATTTTATTTTCAGGTCACTACTAGCCAATGACTAAAGAATTCAAGGACAAATAACACCCGAGAGCAAATTGTTACCATGGCACCAAACAGTACCGTGGCCATATTTTTTTCTTAACTTAGCTAGTTGAAGGGATATTTATATTTTTGATAAATGTTTTGACTACGCCTATGGTGTAGGCGGTGGCATCATACTAATTAATTACGAAAAAAACGTATTAAAATGTTAACAAAAGGTACAAAACTAGTAGCGACGTATAGCAACACATCAAGTACATATAATATCAGAAAAATAATTATCGAATTCAATAAGAAAACTTAAGAAAACGCTAAAAAAGTAGAGCGGACTGTTTATTTACCTATGAAACGTAACTCCTGGCTCTTTCTTGTCACTGCTGCTTTTACATTTGAAAGCTGAACAACTAATCAGCATTGTAATAAAGTTTATACAAAGTTCACTACACACGAACTATTAAAAATTGCTAAAATTGTCGCTGGTGACCAACTGCTGACTCATTGTTTGCCACCAAAAAAAAAGGCGTCAAAGGTCACAAATTCTGCTGCAGCCCGTATAGGGCCGTTACATGTCCCTTATATTCTTTAGTTATTGCTACTAGCAGAGTTTTAAATTTTAGTTAAAACTTTTATCTACAGGGTGAGTCTTAAATAAGTGCAAATATTTTTAGAGGTAATATATTTGACTCCAGAAACACGACTATGAGGTTTTTTTGCGATTTTTTTTAAATTTTGAATTTTTTGAATTTTTTTTTAGTTTTTAGTTAAAAACATAATTTCTTGATAATATGGCAACATAGAAAGTAGATTAAATTTACAAGAAAGAAAATCCAGAAAAGATCCAGTGGTTCTCAAAATTTAAGCAAAAAATCATTTTTTTAGAAATGTTCGGACTTATTTGAAAAACGGTAAAAAGAAAATATTAGTTTTCTTTTATCGAGATCTACCAGCCATAAAAATATTTGCACTTATTTAAAACTCACCCTGTATAGTCTCCCATAATAGGCTGAGGGCTCGTCTACATATGAGTAGAATTATTGAAATACTTTGTAACTTTCTGTATCGCTTAAATATGGCGAACTGATCAAGAAATCTTGAAAAAAAGGCTCAATGTTAATAAATCTTAAAAAGTTACCAACGAAAACGACATATCGACTTACAAACGAGAAACATATCGATTTG